GGGGAGGTACGGTAGAGAGCAAATGCCTGTGGTAAAAATTTGGGTAATTAAGAATGGCGTTGTTTTTTTCCCTTCTCCAGTGTCTAAAAGTCGTTATTAGCAGTTTTGTTTTGCGGGGCCAGCAGCACATACCCCGAAAACATAAACCCAAGCAACCCCCCCCCCCCCCGTGTACTTTCCCTAAACGTACGAAAGGCCAGTTCGACGGTTCTTCACAGTTTCACTGATTACGGCGGATCTTTGCCCCGATAAAACATATTAGATACTTCTCTTAAAATAATAGAATATCAGAAGCGTATCCAAAATAATGGGAACAGCGCGGAAATAAACGTTTCAAGAGATTAACGCGACTGAAGCTTCTTAAATTGTTGATATGTATAGGTAATAGCATGATTTGTAGTGATATTTGGCATGAATACCACGAGTGATATTTCGAAATTGTTATACGTAATTTCACGAGCCGTTAGGCGAGTGAAATTTGAGACAATTTTGAAATATCACAAGTGTTATTTACGCCAAATATCACGTACAAATCAAGCTATCATTTGTTTATACTACTACCCTCAAAAGGTTTGTCATTTTCTCATGTAGGTATTTCAAATTAAGCTGAAATACCACTGCTCTAAGCCAATCAAATTGCAGAAATTTCTCATGCAGTAGTATAATGGCGTTAATTTCATGAAGCGCCAACATTTAATAGGCGCGATCCATTCAACCAAAATTTCCGGAAATTTCGGTCCAAAACTCAATGGATCGGTTCGGTCTAACTGGAAAAGTTTCGAAAAAACTAGTACTTGTTCACCTTTTAAGGTAGACCACTTTTCCCGTTCGGACCGGTCCGGCGCGCCCAGACCACCCTAAAGCCTGCTTCCGCCCGCGGGTTCGCGGGCCTTGGGTCTTAGCTTGCAAGAACAAAGTGAGGAGCCTGGTTACTAGTAGAGTTGACGCCCTTCGTTTGAGCAAAGGAAACCGGCGTCTTAAAGCGTTCAAGTCTTCGCTTTTTAGGCTAGAAAAATGACAGACAAGGACCAAAAAGTGTTCATGGCAAAGTTAGCCGAACAGGCTGAGCGGTATGAGGGTAAGAAAAGAGTATTTAGCTTCGTCGGAATGCGTTTTGGAGTTAAGAACTTCGAGTTTGTTTTATCGCGCCAATTCGGTTATGTCGGCAAACAGCTCTCTTGTCACAAAATTTTCAACGGACAAAGCGGATGCATTGATCGAATTTTTTCGATTATTACTCTCGCTCTACCCAGTGAGGCTTATATATACAGAATTGAAGTGCTGTAAACAAGCATTCGTGTTGTTAACAGCTGAGATTTATCGACGATGAATGAAGTAGAGTTATCGCGGATGCGTTCTTCCATTCACCTGACATTTTCAAAGGGAGTAGATTTCCGTGTTAATTTATGCCTTGCATAAGACTAAATTAGACGCCTTACACGACGAACGACCATCAGAAAGCATATATGACGCTTGAGAATTCGATATAAGCGTACGTTCTATAAAGACTTGATCGACAGGTCGATCGGTTTACGAGCTGAACAAAGAGCTTACAATTAGCGGCGAAAAAATCTCGGTATGTTACACGTTGAAATTCTATTTTTGCCTGTAATTGAAATTCCGGGACTAAACAAGCCGTTTTATTAGAATCACTTTGGTGATGTAAACAGCCGACAGCATACTGTAACTATAAAATTGCAAACGACATTTACAAATATCTTAATTATATTCCCTTTCAAAAGCGCCCTATTGATAATGGTAAAGATCAGGTGAAGCGAATTGAGGAAATAGCTTTAAGACTCTAGTTAAACTTCGTAGAGGTTGCGGTCTTTATGTTCAAAAGATGCCTGAAAGGTGCGTCCACATGGTGATGAAGAAGGAAAGTACATTGTTGTGTCTCGTAATACTATGTGTTGTTGATTTCATTCGTAGTTCAGTGGAAATGCCCGAGCGATTTTTAACAAAGACAACGTTTATTTGCACCATTCTCTATGCTCTTACTATATGTATAAACATTTCCCCGGGGTCCTATCGATGAATGGAATTACTTCACTTTTACTGACAAAGTTCTTTTAAACTTATACATGTAATTATGTAGGAAGGCTGTGTTCCGATTATTCCGGGGCACAGTGCTCGATATGTTATTCTTATTCTGGATATAAAAAGTCAAATTAGTAAAACCAAGGACAGAGTTTTTGTTGGAAAGTTCAAGCAATATTCCATGGATTCGATGGTATGAATTGCATATATCTAACTAAATTAGTTGCTGCTGATGGCAAAGTAAGGACAACTAGAACCACTACGTGGAACTTCCCGGGGTCCAGTGGGGCACGGGATTGCGTAGATATAGTTTACCTCTCGCACCCCTCCCCCCTCCTCTGTTAAGGCTCATACTTAGTCTGAATTAACTCATGCAGAAAGAAAAGCAACAAAATGCATGAGAAAGGAGGATGTTGTCGTAAGTTTGTTCAGTGTTATTACAGCTAACGGTCTGTGTTATAGTAGTGTTTTTACACTGTGATGTCAATAAGTGTGATCTGTATAAGGTTTTTATTTGTTTTTAAGTTTGAGTGAAAAAGCAAAAATCACTGACAGTTTTCGGTTGAATGTTAATGACAAAGTTTGCAAAGAAGTTTGTTACAGAATTATCAGAATTTCACATTTTCTCAAGTACGTTCTCGTCAGGTTTATCATTGAACTTTATTAATCACATTTATCTATTTTTTGCGAAAACACTGTGAATTTAAAATGATAACAGACATAAGACATTTTTGAAATAGATCTTTGTGGTCATGGATTGTTGTCTTGCACTGTAAAAAAATGTCATCCAGTGTTATATGTGGCCATAATAAAATGCTTATTTATTGATGACTGCGTATCATTTGTTAATTCATTGCACATTGAAATGGAGGCATTTGATTGTAAGGCAGTGGTTGATACATAGTGGCATTCATCAATATGACCTATAGTAATTGTAGAGGAAGTATTTCTTTCCTGAACTGGGTAAACAGTAGTAAGTGGTGCAAAGCCTTGATTAGATTCTACTATTTGTATAGTAACATTTAATGCATCTGCAACTGCTTGAATGATAAGTGCATCAGCCCATGTACCTTGAACACACATATTATTCAGATATCTTAGCCATGAATTTTCGGTATTGCTCTCAATAAATCTCTCTGGATTGTCTCTCATAAATTGAACCCCAGCAGTACGTATATATGCATATGATGGTTGCTATTGCCATATAATTGATGTGATACAGACCTAAAGAAACAATCACCTGCACCGCCAACATCTATTGATTATAAACAAAGTGCACCTAATCTTGACTGCATCAAATTCTCAGAGGAAATAGGAGAGTTCAACTGCATTGTTGAGCTGCGATTTTGCATAAAAGGTCTAATTATTACTTCATGATGATCAGTGTTGTATTGAGTAGGTCCTGGATTCTTCTCAACATCTTTACGTAGTTTGAAATTCACATAATTGGTCAAATGACTCACACAATTGCAAGAAAACAATGATAAACATCGCTGGCTTTACATTTTAGTTTCATTATCCTGTGATAATGCCTGCTAAAGAAAGACAACAAATAAGTTTTCTTGGGTATAGCCATTTTATTCAAGTTAATTATCTTTGGATCGCGTTTGTTATTACATTTATATCGTGCATGATAACGTTTTCTCACCTTATTAACATAGCGATGGAGCTTTGAGACTTCGGTATGTCAATCGTTGAAATATTTTTGAAGACAAATTTTGATAAGTGTTCGCTTTGATTCTCGATAAGTTTCACGCTGGAAGGTTCACTCAATTTCTCGATAAGTTTCACGATGGAAGGTTCACTCTTAAGTGATCGCTCGTAAATTTGTCTCTCCAAATATTCACTCTTAAATTTTCGCTCATAAACTAATGCATCGTAAAGGTTGGGGAACGTGTTGTTCCCCAAAAAGCTATAATCTTTCTCTTGACTGTCCTCCATGCCTCGTGCTTTTCAAAATGGCAGATAAGATTTCACTGAGCCAGCGATATATCTCAGTCAGCGATATATCCCTAACAATGTAACGTTGAAAAAAAGACAGAAATGGTCTACATTTTATGACCGGTGTCCAGCCTTCGGCTGGGCCCCGGTAATGAGATAGAGGCAAGATAGAGACAAGTAAGATAATTATTATGCATCATAAACAGCACACGTTTGGTGAACAATGGAGTCTGTTGTCAAACTGAGTTAGGTCAAAAATAGCTAAACCGTAGGTCATGGAAAACTCGAAAAGACAAACAAGTGCTCCAAACTAACAGTCTTTCACTCATCTAGTCTGGTGATTTGTTTTGATTTTAACTATTAATTTAGCCACATAATTAGCCCAAGAATAAGTATTTCACATTAGTTGTTCTCATGGACGAGTGGAAGTTTATCTCTCTCTTGTTTCTTTTTTGTTAAATTAGCATGTAATAAAGTTGTTCTTTCATGCTGTGTCAATAGCAGCAAGAACTACAAGGGGCATTTAGAAAAATGTGAAGGAATGGGCCAGGTTTTGGTTTTAAGTCCACCTCAGTCATAACAGTGCAAAACATCATCCAAACGTCTTGTAACACCCAAAGACATCTGATTCTTAAATTGGTGTACTCTGACACTGGAACGTGGTTCATTTAGGGGCAATGTCACAATGGTATTGCTGTTTTAAGCCAGTTCTTTGCTCAAGTCATTACTTGGTGCCCTCACCCATACACAAAATGCCCCTGTAGTGTTACGAAGCCGACATAAAACAAAGTTCATCAGGGAGAAGTAACCATAACAGTCTTTTTGGTGATTGTTGCAGGTGTATCGTTATCGATATCGGTGATTGTTGCAGGTGTATCGTCGATCCATGTCGACCCGTAGCAACAGACGACAGGAAACAGTTTCGATGCCTAAACGTAGTCTTAAATAACAAAACTGGACCATTATTTTTGGAATTCAATATTATTGTTTGGGGAAAAAACTGTAGCTTTTTAAAAAGATAGCAATTAGTGTGACATAGCATAGCCCCTTTAAGGGGGCCCGAACCTATTTATTTGCGCATTAGTTGTGTTTTTGAATCAGGTTTTTCAGCATGAATGATTTAACCGATTTCTATGATTTTTGGCATCCTTAATAAAGATTGGTGGAACTTTAAGAAAATGCTATTGATTTTCTTCTGGGTATAAAAGTGTTTGAGATATCGGCATATGTTTAAAACCGCATTTTTACAAAAAAGGTCAATAGTTTCAAAACCCTAAGACAGATTTTTCTCTAACTTCAGCAAATTAGCCTCAGAGCTCTCTAGATTTATATCTGCAAGTTTGAAGTCAATCGTGACTGTAGAACTTGCTGCACAAATAGCTGGTCAAATTTAACCTTAAAATGCATCGCTAACACATTTGTGAAAGTTCACACACAAACAGAGGACAAGTGCCGACAGACTATCTCCTATCTGCAAGGGTATTCTTGCCCAAAGCTTTATTTGCAAGAAATTGAGTGATCAGAAACCTACGGCGAATACAGTTTGCAATGTAAAAAGGACAACTTTATGCTGAATGCAGGGCATGATTAGATAACTTCTATTTATCAAAGTTATTGTGTATTTTTCCTTCTCTTGTCGCAAAAAATCTCAACAAAGCACCATATACCATCTACAGAAATCTGCTACCAGTTTTCGGCACTAAAGGTTCCCGTCTTGAGGAGAAATAAAGCCACCAACTCCAGTACTTCAACGGATCGATTTTCAGCTGCAACAAAAATACTTGTATTAGGTAATTGATTTAAGTTTGAAAGATTTCCCATGACACATTCACATGGGCATTTTGCTATTGGGGATAATGAAAATAATAAGACGATTGTCATATTTTCTTCATCTTTATCCCCAAGTGGGAAACTTTCCAGGCGAATTTGATGTCAAGTCTAAAAACTTTGAATAAATTACCAAATACAAGGGCTTTCAATGCAGCTGAAAAATGGACGGTTAGAAGTACTGGAGTTGGTGGCTTTATTTTTCCTCAAAACAGAAACTTGCAATGCTAAAACCTCTTTTTTTCGTAGATAATATGTAATAGAGACTGAAAAATGACACTGACTTCTTAACTTTCAAGCACAGCATCCACTTTTTCCTTGAGATGAGATGCTATTGTTTTTCCTTTTGGGCAAGAGATCGCAGCTCATCCATTGAAATCAAATAAACAATGTGTAATGCTTCATGGGAAGTGACAAAGGGTCTTTAATTTCTGAGGTTATCTAATTCTATGCAGACATGTAGAGTCCAAAAATGGGAAATGCAGGTTAGAAAACCAGGAGGCATGTAGGAGTTTATCTGAATAAAACTGGAAAGTTACAGAACAATGAAGTATTCCTTGTTGTAAGATATGGTTTTTAGTGATTTGAGCTCAGAATCAAGCAAATGCCACTTTTGAGGACCTTCCCATGTTTGTGGGGTACATGAAGCATGTGCCAAATCCCTCTTGAAGAATGTCTCCTCCAACAACTCTGTTGTTTAAAAATTAAGTGATTAATTTTGATCTCTTTTTTAATTTAGAAATGGCAGAATTCATGAAGGAGGTGGCTCAGATGGATGATGGGGAACTCAAAGTTGAGGACCGTAACCTTTTATCAGTAGCCTACAAGAATGTGATTGGTGCTCGAAGAGCAGCCTGGCGCATCATTTCTAACTTGGAATCGAGGTCGGATAAGAACAAGGACTTAATTACAAGGTACAAGGAGAAGGTTGAGGAGGAACTCAATAATATCTGTGAAGATATTATTAAACTTCTGGATGAACATCTCATCAAAAATTCAAGCACTGCTGAATCACAAGTTTTCTTCTTTAAAATGTAAGCAGTTTATTACCATTATAGTCCGATATTATTGCTTTTTATGTTGTAGATTTCAATTTTTTTTGTAGTATATTGTAGTTTTTAACAGGTGAAGAGCCACTAGGTGGATACACTGTAAATAAACCATTATTATTATTATTATTATTATTATTATTATTATTATTATTATTAAGAAGGTGTAGACTTTGTTAAATGGGAATGCAAATGTGGCGTTGTGGAGTTCAAGCCTTGCTTAGCCTGTTCCACAGATGGAACTAAACTTTTGCTTAAGTCAGTCAGCAGCTAAATCTTTGTTTGGGTCCCCACCTGTTCACCAGAATTTGAGTATGCAGCATGATTGGCCTGTTAAAAAGCCTTTGTCATTTTGCCAATCAAGTTGAAGGGAAATTTAACCCTTTAAGCCCCAATATCCACATACAAATTCTCCAAACTGATCTCTTTTCATTTCCTTAAAGAATGTGTTGAGAGAATTTGATAAAAGATGAAAGCATTTTCTCTCAGGTGATCAATTTATTAATTCTTATAACCTAATCTCTGGACAATGTATGGATTTGGTTAGGAGAAAATTGATGTTGGTCACCATTGGGACTTAAAGGGTTAAAACACATTTCCAGTAATTCATTGAGTCCATTGGAGGCCTAGAACAGGGATCTCGGGGCCACTTTGCAGATTTTACTAACTGGGACTGGATTACATTCACAAAGTAGGCTAGCCCTGCTTGGCCATGCCACTGACTTTTCTACCCGAAACACTTTGCTCTAGCAGGGTTTGTACAAGTCATGGAAAACCTGAAAGTCATGAAATTTAAGAATTTCGTATTTCACGCCTGCAAAGTCATAATTTAATAATCGGTCCTTGAAAGTCATGGAAAATGTAGATTGGTCATGGTAGATTAGTTACTGGTGGACATCAGAGATTGTGTCTGTTGGACTGTTTAACGTCAAGAAATATATGCTAAAACAATGAAAGTTTGAAAATTTTTGAACGTGACAGCTAAACCAAAGGTCATGGAAAACTTGAAAAGGTCATGAAAATAGTCATGAGAAGTGATGGAATTTCAAGACCTCAAAAGAGTATGAACCCTCTCTAGATTAGTAGAAAACTTAAGTCCAGGCATTTTTGAGTGACGGCTGGCAACCAGAATTGAGTAGTTGATTTTCCCAAAAATTTGGGCCAAAAACTCTTCCCATGAAGGCAGAAAGGTCACTTTCAGTTTCCATCTATCCCTCCATAATTATGTCTCTCTCTACCCTTGTGTTTGAGTGCTAATGCAGGGTTGAGCCAGGCCGCGCCATTGCGCCAATCCCGCACTGCAATTGAAATTGTCCCTTAAAAAAGTGGCCAAGGGGACAATTTGTCCCCTTCAAAATTTAGGTTAAAATCTCGAAAGGAAGCACACACGAAGAGATTTAGTTCAGTACAGAAATTGCAAGCTAAAACAGAACATGGAAAGTATATTTTATCATTCTAAAGTCACGTTTCAGTCATGCTCTACTGAACACATACGTTTCATGCTCTAACCAAGCGTGGTGAACGCGCCTGGCAATCGTTAACATGTCACATTGAAAACGTGTTCGAACATTAGAAAGCTTTTTCGCCCCAAATCAAAGCCAGAGTGAATCAGAGAAAAATGATACAGAAGAAGAACAGTGTATTAATCAGGAAGAAACAGATGAGGATCGAAGGAAACCGAAAAAAATCACGAGATCACACATGGTTGCGCTATGAAAAGTGTCCGGCGATGTTCAGCTATTTTTGTCGGAAATCTAAGAAGACAAACCTCTTTGCATCAGCAGAAGGGTGTACAAATTTCTGTCCCCCTAAAAATAAAAATGTCCCCAAAAATTTTAGCCAAGGGGACAAATTGTCCCCCAGTGATCAAATCCTAGCTCAAACCCTGCTAATGCTGTGGTTCACCCAGTAAACAGTTGACATGACACAGTCCAAACACATGGCCTTTGGTTACTTGAAAGACATTTCACTGTGAACCAGCTCATGGATGAATTGGATAAGTGTAGATAAGACAGTTCAATAATCAAAGTAACACTGGGAACTTGTTATACAATTAAATAAAATATCATTTTAAATGAGGCTAAATGTAATTTAGGCAAAGTTAACCTCGACGCAATGCTGGTCATGGATAGCTTCTCCTCATGCCAGAGCATTACCCAGCTTCACCAACTTTGTAGGCACCAGCACCCCAGCTCATCTATTGGTGATGCGTTTAAGATGAAAATTACAGTTTATTCTTTGTAGTAGGAGGCATGTGCACTAAATAAATTATACAAATTGAAGCCTTGAGACTGTCATGTAGAATCTTGAGAGAGCTGTGTTTGTTGTGAGAGATTGGAGTGCCTTCCATTCTTCTTTTGAGAATTTTTGTTTTGGAGTTGTAATATAATCCATTTAAGATAACTCTTAATGTTGCCAACAGGTTGTGTGATTGATAAGGATGTCACGTTTGTTTTTGTGTCCTTTGCTTCTGTTTCATACAACAAACCATCAATTAGTGGATTTGTTGATGTCGCTTTAACAATTCAAGGTCCATTTTTCACACTAAGGGTTCTTTAGCTTATTAGCTTTTCACCAAATGAAAATTAAATGAATTTATTATTCTGGAGGTGAATTGGAAATAATTTTATTTCCTTTTTGTGCACAGAATTTTTTTTTCTTACTAAGTTACCTTTTCAAATCTTTTCCCCAAAAATTGTCTTTTTTTGTTGTTGTTATGTCTTATTTTATTTCTTGTGAGATAATAAATTATAGTTATTATTTTCAGTACAATAACAATGGAGAGAATACAGGGAAAAGCAACTGTGTCATATTGTTATCCATCTTTCAGACCACTGAAACAATAGTGGTTACAAGACAGTATTCATTTTGTGTTTTGCAGGAAGGGGGACTACTTGCGATATAAAGCTGAAATTGCTGCTGGTGAGAACAAAAGTAGCGATTGCGATAAAGCAGAAGATGCGTACAAAAGTGCAGCAGTTAAAGCAAATGATGAACTTACAAAAACAAATCCAATCCGCCTGGGTTTGTATTTAAACTTCTCTGTATTCCATTACGAGCTGCGTAATAATTCTGAAAAGGCCTGTGAGCTTGCCAAAGAAGCATTTGACTCCGCGATCAGCGAACTCGACACCTTGAGTGACGATAAGTACAAGGATAGCACATTGATCATGCAGCTTTTGAGGGATAATTTGACACTTTGGACTGCTGACAATGGTAAGGTTGATCCATCCTACTGTTAAAGGGGCTATGTCGCGCTATTTACTATCTTGTTAAAAAGCAAAACTTCTCTTTGCTTCAGCTTCCCAAGAATAATGGTCCGGTTTTGTTTTAAGATTACAGTCAAACCTCCAGTAAGGGACCACCTAAAATGCAAAGACTTAGTGTTCGCTTACGGTTGGTGGTCACTTACAAGAATTGAACCACGGGGGCCTCTTCCAAGAAGTGGTCCGGGCACATCAACTTTATGGAAGATAATTAATTGCATGCAATTTCTTTGTTATGCTATTTGTAGTTCTGTGTTGTTACTAAAGCACACAACAAACATAGAGATCAGAGAATGCGTCAAGTGGCTGCTTACAAGAGGTTAAAAACAATACAAAATCATTAAACTTTCAGGCCCAAAAAGTTGTCGCAGTTTCTTACAGGAGGTGGTTGTTTACGAGAGATTCCAACTGTAAGGCTTTGACAAGGAAAATTTTGGTGTTTCGGATAGGTGGTCACATATGGAGGTGGTCGCTTACGACAGGTTTTGCACTTGGAGGTTCGACTGTATTATTTGGGCACTGAAATTGCCTCTTGAACCTTGCGCTAACTCAAAGCAAAATCGATTTCCCCTGGATTTCCTCCATACATTTACTGTAATTTTACCCTCTGTAACCCCAACCCTCGATAACTTACCCGAACCTCCTGCTGACTCCAAGTAATTTTGTGTTTCTCTTCAGGTCAAATCTATATAATAATATTTTACCCTCGATAACTCAAATTATGTTTTAAGCATGTCACAAGTAAAAAAAAAAAAGAACAGTGTACTGCATTCCAAAACACTGAATTTATTTTAAAACAAGCACAGGGCTGTCATTAAGAGACGGGGGCCGGGAATTCCCCCCGGCTACTATGAACATGACCCCCGACTACTTTCAAAGGAAAATACAAGAAAAATAGGACCAAAAGAATCCCCTAGCTGTTGGATTCCCTTCCTACTTGTTTTATTTACCCTGCAACTTGAAATCTTAGTGACAACCCTGCAAGCATGTATACTTTGTCTTTACTTTCTTGTCAGTCAAGTATAAAATTAATACAGTGTCAAGCCCTGTATATTAATAAAGGTTTGTACAGTTTCTTAGCTTGCTGCCCATGAAGTGAAGTGCATGATTTTAAGTCTTGCATTCCTTTTTCCATCCCATTTGCTTGTTTCTTTATTTCAAGTTATTTACTTCAAACTCCTGATAACTCGACTTTTCTTTGAATTTCCCAAGAAGGTTAAAGTTATCAGGAGTCGACTGTATTATTTTCTGGAACAGGGTCACAAGTTCATCTCTTTTGGCCTGGAACAGGTCCAGAGTCTAAAGGACACAGCGACACACCCTCGTAGTAAATTTAAGGGAGTACCTGCCCCCAGGTTTGCATGCTACTTTTGACAACTTAAACAAAAGCAACTAAGGAAAACATTCCCTCTTTTACACAGAAGATGATGGAACAAAAGCTGTAGATTTGGATGACGAAGATGCCAAGAAGTGAACAAGCAATTTATTGTATTTCAGGAATGTATATTATTCTTACTTGCTTCAGAAAATGTTTGGGCATACCTACTGGTGTTAATTGTGTAGCTTCAAATAATGCTCTACAGAGATTTTTATTGCAAGATTTTTTCTCAAGGATATATGTCCTTTATGTGTTTGTTAGTTTTTATGCATATAAGTGTTCCACCAAAGAGCACTCGTTATGTCTAAGAAACGAAAACTGGCATCTTTTTAGTAGAATGTACAGTTGAACTTCCATTAAGTGGTCACCTACTAAGCACCTCCCCTCAAGTAAGCAGCCAGTAATCAAATCCTGAAAATAATTTTCAAAAGGAATGGGAACTTTTGGTCATCTCGACGAGAGTTATCTCATTATTTTCACCTCTATAAAGCAGCCGTACAGCGCTTGATAGACTTAGTTAGGCTTTATTTCAAGAACATGATTAGTCCGATATAGAAGATGATGACCGATAGTGGACCAGTCATGCTGCTCCCATCACATGTTTGTTTCAAAGTGAACTGATGTTTCCACTAAAGATTATGCTAATTTATGACAAACCTCTGTTGAGCGGCCAATCTCCATTAAGTGGCCACTTGCTGGTGCTCTGAGGGTGGCTGCTTAATAGTGGTTCAACTGTAACAGCTTAAGTTCGTGTAGAGCCCTAGAAAATCATTATTACTTTTTAAATTGTATCCTTGTAATTTATTTGATGATTTGATAGTGTGAAAATGTACTTTAGAGGCTAAAAAATGTTTCACATACATTGTAAACCTTGTTTGTTTGTTTTTTCAAGGTCTCTGTATTATGTAACAATACCAGTGATAAAATTATTAAACTGTATTTGTAGATGAAACTGTTAGGTTGTTTAGGTTTCTGGTGTCGACTGCAAGTGTGTAAGCTTTAGCATGCCTTTTTCTTTTTTGTTAGTTGAGAAACATCCTTCTAAATTATCATCATCATCATCATCACGCTACATATAAAGTGATTTTGTTACAAATAGTTATGGTCACGCCCGGGACCCATCTTGCGAAAAATCATGAGTCCCAGTTCAAAAACCAAAGAAGAATCCTAAATTGGGCTCTTAGGTAACCAGACAGTTAATCTGACTCCAAAACTCTGTACTACAGTTTACTGAAATACTAGTATACTCCTTCTGTTGTAAAGGACAACAAAGACTAAAAAATATGTTTTGTTTAAAAAGTAGCCGTAAGGACCGCCTCAGAAATACAGGATATTCTAGAAAAAACGTCTTCAGATAGATCCAAGTTAGCTATAGCCTGTGTACAGACGTCCCCCCTCCCTCAGGAAAAAGCGGGAGAGGAGATGGCTGTGAATCACCGACGATAATCGTGTTCCCGTTTCCCCGGGATGTTGGGGACAGCCTCTGATTGGTTGTAATGTTAATGCCATGAGGCAGATAATTTCCGGTGTTGTCATTGGTGAATGAACCTCAGAATAGATTCCCCGGGGAATAGCTCAGCCTTGGTGGACATTCATATTTGTTTACCGGTATTTGTATTTCGGCTAGGCTTTTGTACATTATGCTAGCATTTTTTCGAGCATTTTAGTGAGGCAAAAGCATTGAGCATTATTCGAGCATTTTAGTGGCATTTTCCCCGGAAAATTAATTTTTCCGAGAAAATAAAATAGAAATTAACTTTCTTGAGGAGCCCATGCCCCATGAGCTCCTGCTTTTTTAAACCAAATGAAGACTAAAACTCAAAATACACAAAAAATCTAATACAGCTGTTTTTTTTTTGGCTGTATTTATGAACTTGTACACGTTCTCGTTGTTACTTGCAACACTTGCAAGTTTTTGTATGTGTAAACTTTGAAATTAATTTAAAAAACCGTTTGTATAATGAGCATTATCCGAGCATTTTAGTGTCCTTTTTGGGGAGACCGAGAATTTTAGTGGGAAAAATGGAGCATTAAGGTGGAGCATTTTAGTAGGGAAGCAAAAGCATAATGTACAAAAGCCTAATTTCGGCTCTCTCAAAAAGGCATGAGAAGTTAAGACCACCAATGTTTGCTGCACCGGTTGCGGGTGCGTCTGTCTGTACCGGTCGGTATTGTAAATAAAATAGAAGGACGTACAAAATCCAACGTTTACAGCCAAGGTAGGTCAAGCTTACCCCAAAAAAGATTCCATTAATGAATTGATTATTTGAAAAAATTAATCCGTTAGTCGTTCCCATAACTGGTGTCAAATTTAAATCGGGATTCCTGTATGCGTAATTAGCAGTGAATATTTTAAGAGAACTTCTCTGCATTTGGTCAGATTGAAAAATCTTTGAATGGATTAAATTTCTTTTAGAAGACATTTACATCAAATTCAGGGAAACTGAGCTGGTAGAAATTCCGCAACTGAATCGCGTGTGAATTCACGGCTCGTTACGCATGCAAGAATGCACACAGAGATGACTCTGAAATCTACAACTACCAACGGTTCAACTTTCGAATAATTAAATACATTAATGGAATCTTGGGAGGTACGCTTGACCTGGCTTGACTGTAATCAGAGATCTTATATCTGGATTTTTGGGTGGACATTGCATAAAGGTGTTCGGCTAGCCTGCTCACAGACGCCAGAGCTATTTTTCGACCTACATGTGCCTTTTCAACTGTCACCGAAAGAACAAAATAATTTTTACAAATGTATACTGGAACATGATTAACGACGGTGATTCACAGATGTCTCCTCACCCGATTTTTCCTGTGGGAAGGGGGACGTCTGTACACAGGCTAAGTTAGCTATTGCAGAAGACTTCTGGGATCGATACCTACAGTTAAGACCTGCTATCTACCGCCAGTCATCTATTGGCCAATTTGTTTCCCCTGTCCCCAGTAACAGTCGCAGAAGTCTTTGTGAAAGTTAACTAGACGTATGTCATACATGAACCTCATGGCCAAGTTTGCTGCGAGTCCTTTGCAGCCCAGTGGTTCAAGCATCCCACCAGTTGGGCACTCAGATTTTTTCTTACTCCTGTGGATGTGACATGATGATCACTTCTTTTCTCATTAATTCTACCCAATTTCTAGCCTGCCTCCCCTTCTCCCTTTTTCCCTATCCCCTACCCCTTTTGACACCTGCTACCCAGGCTACCTAATTTCCTTCTTGTTTGTAAACTGGCAGAACCTATCACCCCAGAGTGTCCATCAGTAACCAATATAGTCAAATACCATGCTACAAAACTGTTATGGTGGAAAGCAAGGGATGGACTGGGACAAGACAAGGAAAGAAAATTACCATTTTAAAAACAATGATGTAAGCCATTTGTTTGTCTTGTCCCAGACTGTCATCTTGCTTTTCATGGCGGTTTTGTACCATGTGAATGACTAGACCCTGAGGCTGTTTAAAATTAAAAATCAGGAATGCATGCCCTGTTTAGGACAACGTCCTCAATTTTATTTAATACCCTTTTTAGGACAAAGGACAAAATGTACACCATTGCTTTTGTATACTTGAGTAGAAACAAATTTCATCTTGACTAGCAAATTAAATCAATCGTGCAGGCAAAACCCGGTTTATAATTAGGATAGACTCCCGCAAAATATACCCTGTTTAGTACAGAGTCGCCCAAAATTATATTCCCTGTTTCCGACAGAGAAGTCAAAAACCATACCCTGTCCAGTGGCACATCCCCATATAGGCCATATAAGGGATACACCCCCCGGGCCGTTTCTATCATCCTCGGAGACCTAGCGGCAGTCAGTCTCCGAGGATGCGTTTCTATTGAATCTTTGTTTTGTCATGATTTTGGCGTTCTGACAAGGCAGATAACAATCATGCTGTCTATAAATGCAAACTTGACAATCCGGGAAGTTTTTATGGAATATATTAAATTTAAATGAATTTCAACTATTTATTTCTTTCAGTTCTCTTTTTCCATTTCTGTTCTCTCTGTGTACACTCGGCCGCAGTCTTTCCTTTAAAAACGTACACCCCTCTACTCTTGCAAGCACCGAGGCATGTCACATGACAGGATTCAAGTTCCCCACCCCCATGCACGTGGATCAAATACCCTAACACCTGGCCTGGGAGATTCTAATTTATCAAATTCTTTTCCCTCCAGCCCCTCAGCGGAGCCTGGTGCTAACCTAGGGGGATGATGAATGTTCGATTTATCTATCTATATCTGTACATGCAATGTAACCAAAGTACTAAAATCAACAGCTACGATACGTTTGGATACAGTTTTTCTGAGACCACACTGATATTTTTCAATCGCCTTTAAAGTGATTTTAATCTTGTCTGGTCGTCATAAAATTTTCATAACTAACAAAACTTGGATTGTGAAAGTTTGTCAAAATGTGGTTTAGGGTAAAATCAACGAAAATAGTAAGGAGTAACAGTGGTTACGCAATAAAGCCAAAAAAACAGTAAAACGGCAAACAGACACCAAAACGCAGTGGAATACATTGCAGGTAAGTCTTTTTTATTCAATTCATTTAAGAAAAAGTAAGGTTTTGCGTTATTTAGCGTGCGCAGATCTCAGTAATATATTTCTCATACAAAGTCTCTTATATTTTCAACGGTCGCCTGTAACGCGANAAATTTTCATAACTAACAAAACTTGGATTGTGAAAGTTTGTCAAAATGTGGTTTAGGGTAAAATCAACGAAAATAGTAAGGAGTAACAGTGGTTACGCAATAAAGCCAAAAAAACAGTAAAACGGCAAACAGACACCAAAACGCAGTGGAATACATTGCAGGTAAGTCTTTTTTATTCAATTCATTTAAGAAAAAGTAAGGTTTTGCGTTATTTAGCGTGCGCAGATCTCAGTAATATATTTCTCATACAAAGTCTCTTATATTTTCAACGGTCGCCTGTAACGCGACACCGGCGCGTCACCTATGTTATGTAAATTACATTACACCCTACCCTCGCAAAGTGAGTTTGGGCCGCCTGTGAAGTTACAAAGTTACAGGAGTTACAACGTTACCCAAGTTGCGAGGCCGCATTTCAGGTGAAGCTCTGCCACAGTAGTTGTCAGGTAAGCTGCATTACAGTTTTGGTTTAGAGAAAACAATGCCTGTGAAGTGGACGACTAAATGGCATTCAGCCATGAGCAAGGACATACCGCGGGCGCATGAAGGCAGTGAAGGGCGCATTGGTGGAATAAAGACATGCGCGTGTTTTTCAAAATGGCTGCCACATGGTGCGAAGTAAAGCCATGTCTTTCCTATTCAGTTTTAAATATCATAAACAAATTTGGCTTCAGTTCCATGACTCCGGTACAGGTATACAAAATGATAATCTTACTACTGCCCTATGACGGGAATTCTGTAATGGTTTTAACCCTCGGATTCTTTACTCAGGCAGCCACCATTCCACTTTTTATGTCAAACAAAGATGTTGCAGTTGAGGCGGTAAGTTTGATTTGTACGTTTGTAAATTTTTTTTAGGACAAGTCACTCATCCTAAGCCCATTTATAAAGTCCAGCTTTTACCTGGTTTTGCTATAGAATACAAGACGACTTTCTTGAGACCCTGTACGTGAGGGGTTTTAGGGATAAGGTATATTGTGGCATATGTACAATTTATAGATACAGGTTCTATAATTTCAGAATAATAATTCTCTCTATGTATACTGTTGTTCACCTCGTGGTTAGTTTTATTAAATTGTTTCAATTTCAATGTCGTTTGGCTTTTCTTATTGTATCAGATGTTAGAATCAAAACTATTGTGAATCTTCTGAGTTCAATTCGCCACTTTAGAAATGAAAAGGAAATTGGACCAAGTTACTTTTCTCAAAGACTTTTGAGACTGCTACTATAAAATTCCGAAAATAAGCCCCTCCTTGTATAAGCCCCTCCAAATATAAGCCCCCCAAACGGGTGATGCAAAAAGTCCTCCGTTAAATCGCCCCTCCTAATATAAGCCCCCAGGAGGCTTGTACTTGGGAAATGCCCTCAAATACTAAGTAAAACAAAGCAAAAACGGTAAACTTACTTCCAACTGTAGGGCTAGCCCAATCAATTTTAAAACGCAAATAAGCCCCTTTGACTATAAGCCCCTCCAAAAATAAGCCCCTCAAAAAAGGCCTTTGAAAAATATAAGCCCCAGGCTTATTTTCGGAATTTTATGGTATTTGGGACAGGAAAAAAATTGGCCAATAGCTGATGGCTGCATCCTCAGTAACATTCCCAGAAACTTTTGCAGGACGCTTTTCACCTCCAGGTCCGGGTTGTTAAAACGTTGGATAGTGCTATTCACCGGATAAATCTCTATCTGGTGGATAACGCAATTGGTTTCCCCAATACTTATCCACTGGATGGCGATTTATCCAGTGGATAGCGCTATCCAAGGTTTGAACAACCGGAGCTAGTTTCCTTCTTGTTTGTAAAGTGGCAAAAATTATTTTTGCATCATTGATTCACCTTTTGCTTGATCACATCAGCTTATTTCCTTCTTTATAGTGGTTTGGTGTATCCTTTCTTACCTTAAAGTGATGTGACATGAGACGATTCGCAACAACAATTTTAGCGCAATGAAGCTTGGCAACATTGCTGCGACATTGTTTCGAATTACATGGTTCCAACTTTCCAATGCTGTGTTGCATTAAAAATTGTTGTTGCAAATTGTCCCGTGTAACATCACCCTTAGACAAGCTCTTAAGCTCTTGGGGCAAACCATGTAAATGTGCTGAAATAATTTTTACTTAATAATAAACAGAGCCTTTAAAACTAATTCAACTTGTCATTGTGTCATTGTGATTTAGGTTACAGGATCTGGAAAAACTTTGGCATTCTTGATTCCTGTTGTTGAAATTCTTCTTAGAAGGTATTATTCTTGATAAATAGTACTGACAGTGAATAACTGACATATCTAACCTGCCAACAATAATTATTGTTAGAGTATATTTTATCTTTGACATTTATTTTCTAAATTAGAACTCCAAAATTTGGAGATTCCTTGAAAACCCTGAAGATTGACAAATCTAGGTGATATTTACTTCCTTTGTGGTAGTATGTCCCTGTTTTGTCGCGGATTATATCTTACTCCCAGTTGATTAAGGGCTACAGCTGTACATTATTACCATACAGTTTGTTACATTTAAAGTTTGAGATTGTTGGATTCTAGTTAAAGTTTTCCAGAGGTTGCCAAATGTTGGGGTGTGAAGTTCAAACCCTGAAACTCAACCTTACCCTTGTCAGTCAGTACTCACAGCGGCATCTAGTGTCATTCAATAAAGTTCTTTTATAGTTGCAAAGTAAAAGAAAAAATTTCTTACTTTCTTTATGCTGGACAAGCACAGTCTATATTAAATTTGGTTGTCCAAAATTAAACCCAAGAGTTCTTGTCCAAAATGTATTGCCAGGTTCCTGAGCCAAATGGAGCTCATTCAAACAACTGAAATGGCCATGTTATGGCAAAGTTAAAAGGAGCATTTAGCCTTATTTTGTCAAGTATGAGGCTTGCTTTTATGACTACAAGATAAATTTTAATTCTACTGTAATTTGAGGTCAATTTTCAACTGTTTCAGTATTTTTTTCTGTTGAAAATGTGGTTGTCCCAAAGACGAGTCATGTCAAAGGTTTGCACGTCCGAACTAAAAAATTAATTTTGTTCCTGTCCTAGACAATCAGACATAGGGTTTGCTACACCCTCAGATGGAAATTCAATATTTCCATTTTTTTGTTAACCCTTAAGCCCCAATATCCACAAACAAATTCTCCAAACTGATCTCTATACATCTCCTTACAGAATTAGTTGGGAGAAATTGATAAAAGATCACAGTTTTTTCGCTTTGTGATCATTTGATTAATTCTCAAAGATGTTGCACTTGACAATCTATGGATATTGTTAGGAGAAAATTGATGTTGGTCACTATTGGGACTTAAAGGGTTAAAGTGGTTAATGAAAAAGTAGTCTGGAATTTATTGGTGACTCGTGCTTGATAAATGTACTCCTTCTCTTAACGTTTTTTATCATTCTGCAGTTGCATAATAGGGGCAGTCACACTGCACCTTCTCTTCAGAGCTCCCCTCACGGAAATAATGGGATGGGCTCTCACTCAGATTGGTTTTTGATCATTCCACGTTTGTGGTTACATGCTGACAACAACAAAGACATCAACTTCAATTGACAGCTTTCTTTTTCCCTTCCTTTTTTGCAACAGATATTGTTGCAAAATGTGCTCCCACAAAACTCTTGGCTCCAATGAATTTTTGAGGATTATTATGAAGCATTGGTGGAAAGAAAACTTTCAAGTGTCTCAAGATACTTTTGAATTTATATTTAACATGAAAGCAGTCATATTAAATAGATTCAAAAGCGGAAATCCTCCCATGTTTCTGAACTTCAGGGCTGTCACAAACGGCAGCACTAAAACACGGAATCCGGAATCCGGAATCTGGAAATGGAAACGGAATCATGGAAACGGAATACGGAATCTGTGAAAGAAGGTTCTAAGCGATCGATTTGAAAAAAAATATATTAGCAATGACAATAAAATAAATAAACAGATAAAAGAAAAAGACACAAATGAATAAATTAGCTGAGTAGGGGAGAGGAGACTGCTGTATCACTAGAGGAGTCGATTCCGGTGAAAAGACTCTTGATACCACTTCAGGCAATAGTTGTGTAATGTGAAATTCTTTAATTTTCTATCATTGATATTTGATTCTGTATTCCGTTTCCGTTTCTGTGATTCTGTTTCCGTTTCCGGATTCCATGTTTTAGTGCTGCCCGTCACAAAGGCCCGGGTTCTAGGTCTTCCCTGGCTACTATGAGCAAGACCCTAAGTTACTTTGAGAGGAAACAACAGGAAAATAACAGAAAGTAAAGACCATCCCAGCTGTTTCAATTTCCTGCCATCTCTGTAACTGCAAAAACCTGGCAACTCGAAATCGTAGTGGCAGCCCTGAACTTTTAAGTCCAGTCATGGGTAGGTAAAATTGTGGACCGTAGTCTGATTTATTTCAAGATGAACAAAGCACTCTCCATAAGCAACACATTATTTCTAGTGCTTAGCACATGTCCCTTTCTTATGATTGACTGAGCCAGTTTGGGTTTTTATTTTTGCAATTAACTACATGTAGCTTAGTAACATGTACCTCGGGAATCCTTTTGTTCCTTTTGACTTATGTTTCCCATTGGGCACACAGTGATTTACCCAAGGTAAAATGGCTAATGTAACCGCGCTTTTCCATTATATGTCACTGTGTAAAGTTGCCAATTGTGTATACTTGCTGAAAAACTAAATACTGATCTAACTGAGTTGTCTTCTTCTTTTTGCTTTTTTGTTTTAGAGAAGAAAAATTGAAAAAACATGATGTAAGTGTTATTATACATGTACAGTAGAAACTCAGATAACTTGAATTCCCTACTAACTCAAACTACATTTCCTTTCCTTTAATCAAAATTACAAGGACAAATTTGATTTCGATCACTCTTAGGGCTGAAAACATTTTGAAAACGTAGTGAACAGTAAAAGACAAGTAAAGGGAAGACTTGGTCATGTAGTAGAAATTCATGTTTGCTGTTTGTCATAAATGTGACTCTAAATTTCTCTATTGAATGCCAACTGGCTGGTTTTCTGAAACAGTAGGCTAGAATGCCTCCTTTAATTTTGAGCACTCAACGTTATTGCTGTAATGAAGGACCCGACATGTTTGAAGGAATTATTGTACACAAAAAACTGTCATTGCAAGCATCTCTGTAAGCCAATATTAAACTCATCACCAATAGATGAACTTGGGTGATGGTGCCTGCAAGGCTGGTAGAGCTGAGCAATGCTCTTGCCTGAAAAACTATGGAGGATTGTGGATTTTTTTGGTGTCAAGTCTTTCTCTCTTTCAACTTCATCAGGTTGGCGCCATTATAATTACACCAACAAGAGAGCTGGCAAAACAGATTGATGAAGTTTTAAAGAAGTTTACAGAAGATCTTTCACAATTAAGGTTAGTTGCATGACAGGTGAACAAAAAATTAATGTCACCAAAAATAAGCTATTAGCCTGTGAACAGGCTCCCAAGTGGAGCAAAGTGAAAAAGAAAATAGATGAGCGAAGCGAGTTGAGCATGGCCTGAGTTAGAAAAAACGGCAGGGGCCCTGTAGACTGACCTGCTTTGACGCTGCCCATCCATGATACCAGATTCTGATATCATGGTCTGATTGGTCAGATCACTCGCTGTTGACAAGTGATTGATGAGCAATGAATACCTGCGCGGGATACCAACATGCACATGAATGTTACTGGAGCTGATGCATTCAAGTGTAAAAAAAAAACATCTTAATTTGACAGGTCTAATTACCTTACTGACATGTTATTGACATATGTGTTACAGGATAATAATTATTGCAAGTAAGCAGATGGGTGGCATCAAAACAAAGAAAGTCTATAGGCTCCCCCGCCTTGGTTTGCCAATTTTCTTTTCCATCCCGGTCCAGTTGGGAGCCTTTTCGCAGGCTAATAAGCTGTTGGATAAGTGTGGTCAACTGTTCAACAAAACATTTTTTGTAAAGAAAGTTTTTTCCTCGGTCTATGAAATTAAATAGAGAATAATACATGGTCGCGCGGAGATATGGAATTTATCTTCGAGTGTTCACATCGATATCGAACGAGTGAGCGCAGCGAACGAGTGAGATATCGAATGTGAACACGAGAAGATAAATTCCATATCTCCAAGCGTCCATGTATTATTCTGTTTATTATATAAACATACTGAAGACGGCGTTTTTGATGATTTTCCGAAGATTTCCGACCACCTTCCGAAGATTTCCGAAGATTTTTCAAATTGTCCCGAAGACCAGACGAACGTTCCCGAACATTTTCCGAGAATTTCCGAAGATGTCCGAAGATTGCCGAGCACGTTCGAGGAAGACCCGAAGATGTTTCGATGATACACCAACGAATTTAAGTACAATTTAAGAGACAAACCTGATGTCAGTGAAATTATCGATATCTTCACATGTGAAAATATCGTATTTTTACGTGTGTTCAGATACCACATTTCTCGGTGGTAGAAATCCTTGTAAAACACTGCAGTTTATATAATAAAAGTATATATTTTCAGTCAAACAAAGTTTATGGGTGGCTTTGTTGTGGAATAGTGGTTGGTTTTTTTTAGTTGAGTCAGTAATATTGTGGTCATGAAAAAAAAAAGGCAAAAAGTGGAAGTGGTAGAAGCTATATTTGGAAAACATCCATATGTCAGTACAATAACTTTGAAAGCTACAGAAACATAAATATTAATGATACCTGGTTAAAAGAGTTGTAAGGGTTAATTTTAGACTTTCACACAAGTCCTTTGAAGTCACACAGTTCTGTTCTGTTGCTCCCTTGGGTAGTTCAAAATGCTTGCTTGTGAGTGCTTTAGTTTTACTGACAGAATTGCACCCTGTGTTACTGATATAAAAAGGTAAACTTGATGCAAGTCTTTGGCTCCCCCACATGCCAGCTGTTGTAGACTCACCGAAAAGCAGAATTTGGATGTGAGTAAAGGAGGGAGCTAACTTGGAAAGTGGCGAGTAGACCACTAATTCACCAAGGGGCAAACTAACTGATATTCATCACTGGAACCAAAATAAAATACTAGTTTTAGTCATGAATAATTAGTTTTTATAATTATTTGTACAACATTTTGGTCTTGTCACATTTAGTTCTACATGTGGGTATCCTGTATCATGGTAATGCTCATGAATTTGCATCCTAAAGTTTTATGTTTTTTTCTGTTTGAGTCAGGCTTAATACAGCTGCTGTAACTCATTTTGTTTTTGTCTCTTCCTTGAAACTTGTTTTATCTTTATTCTTTTTTAGACAGTTGTTGCTTATTGGGGGAGCAGATCCCTTGGAAGATATACAGAAATTTAAGTCAGAAGGGTGAGAATGTGCCTGGATAATTATTAATTGTGTATAAATCTTTCATTGGAGAAATTAACAGTGGCTTATTGCCACACATTTGCAGAGTATTGAAGATGGGTACCTGGAATGTCTGGGACCTCCACTGCATGTACTTGTCATAGGCCAGGCCACAGACAGCTGTTCTGTTGGCTTGCAATTCCCACAACACAGCCATGATCTGTACACTGAGTCATCCTTGCTCCAGTCCTGATCTGGCTGGTGTTGACAGGTGGAAAAGGAAAAGGATAGGGAGAGGAGGGGGGGCAGAAATGGAATTATGCTGAGCAGACAATACATTTATTGCTCCACAAAAATCCTGCCTTGCTTTGATACCCTGAACTATGCTTAATCATGCAGCTAGAATGAGGGGTGCTCAGAGTATTCTCCAGTGTTCTGTTCCACAAAACGCCCTAGACTCAATTTATATGTACAGAACTTGTCCTGAGCTGAAGGGTCACCCTCCCAGCCGAGACAACTTGAGTGAGCGTCTATATGAGAAAAAAGTTGACTCCTCTGCCAGAGCTAACAGTGCTAGCACATGCTCTGATTGTCTCACCTTGACTGAATTGTATGGAGAAAAAGTTGACCCATCAAGGGGGGTGACCCTACCATCACAAAAGGGTGACCCAGCTAGGTGGGTCACCTTTCTAGCCTAGCCAACTTTTTTGTTTCTCATGTAAATGATTTGCCTCGTTTTGGAAGGAAATGCATAAAAAACTGACTCTCCCAGGGTATCTCAGGTCCATCCTTCTACCCAGGATGACCCTTCTCTGTAGGGGCCCTTAAAACATCTGTGCTGCTCTGTGTTGTTAACTCAGTTAATACGCATGCAACTACGTTTAAAGAGATCAACCACCTTAGCTTATTCTCTTTCTCCATTAGACCACCAAGATCTGATGTGGAAAAAAAATAGACTGCACCAATAACAAACTACTGTTAATAAGGAAAAACTATTTTGTAAAGTTTAGTTGCATTTAATTTATGGTGTACTTCTTTAATAGGGGTCACATAATTGTTGGAACTCCAGGAAGACTGGAAGATTTATTTGCTAGGAAAAAGGATGGATTAGATCTCGCTGCTCATGTAAGATCACTGGTATGTACAGCTGACAACAATAAGATTTGCATGTAGTGTCTTTATGAGATTAGCTAGCATTATTGATCAGTCTCCTCTACTAACAGTGTTTTACAAGTAGACTTCAAAAAATTTGCCTCTTGACTCATGTAAGCACCCCTTGGACCCCCACGTATTAATGAAACTACTGACTAGCAGTAGCTAGATTTTAACTTTGCCTAAATTGCATTTAGACACACTCAAAAAACTTGCAACCTGCATTGAGGTGTGGTTAAATGTTCTGTTATTGCAAACTTCTTTGATTTGAATGCCACAACCTGTTTTTATTTCTAATAGGAAGTGTTAGTGCTGGATGAAGCTGACAGATTGCTTGATATGGGTTTTGAAGCAAGGTACATGAGAAAGCCTTTGTTATGTACTACAGGGATTATTTTAGAAATATCTGGCAAACAATAGAATAGCTAAAGGACTGGAGCCTACTTAAGTATTTTAACTTAACAAATGAATGTGCAATGTTAAAACAGCTTTTCAGAGGCTTCCATGTACGTAACTTGCCTGCATTAGATCATATACATATGTGAATTTGCATATTATTATTATTAGTCTTCAATCTTGGACAAAAATGTTGATAAAAATGGATATAATCATGTCTAGTTTCAAGATAAAGCTCTTGAAAGCACTGGCAACTGCAAATACTCCCCCTTACCCCAAAAGACGGTAACCACTATTACCATAAATGTACATGAATTATTACTACAACTGTTTTTCTTTTTTTTACAGTTGTATTTAGGAGCTTATGGTAATATTTGTTACAGTGATGTCATTGTGCATCACTCCACTAATTTGAAAACAAATTAAAGTGGGAAAATAAATGCCACCCTCAGTTGTTGTGCATGGACTAAACAGTTAACAGTTAGTTAAATTAGGCAATCAATAACAACCTGTTCTATCTTCCAGCCTAAATGCCATTTTGGGGTTTCTTCCAAAGCAAAGAAGAACGGTAAACTACTTTTTGTACTTCACTGTTTATTTTAAGATTTCAAACTCATTGTAATAAACTGGTGTTAAGTTTTAACTGTCACCTTTTCTTAGATTAATGAGATCCTCGAAATCACAAGCCCTATATAGCTAGCATTTCAAATCCCATTAAAAACAATTTTCAGCTCCTTGCCCAGAGGTCATGGGAAAAATTTCACTGGAACCCATATCCTAAATGTTTTTGAAGTCATGTATTTTTTTCTTGTCACTGGAAGCCTTAGACCTGAGTACCTGCAATGCACTTTGGGAACGATTCAAGATGTTAGACAATAGAAAACTGATAGATGTTATACAACATTTTAGTTTCGTACACAGTGTACATGTATTATAAGCTGCGTCAGAACTAAAGAATTGCTCTACTAGTTAAGAATCTGAGTGGAAAAATAGTAAACTGGGAAACTATTTTTCGGTTCCCTTATTTTAAGACCGAGGCAACAACATGGTACCGGAAATTATTGTTTAGAAGTAACCATGAACTCCTAGGGCTTGAAAACACTTATGTTTGTATGCATCAATCTTCAGTTGATGATGCTTTGTTACTTTAAATACAGGGCCTTTTTTCTGCTACTCAGACTGATGAGGTTGAGGCTTTGGTGAGAGCAGGACTCCGGAATCCAGTCAGAGTTACAGTGCGAGAAAAATATTCCAATTCTAAGGTGTGTAAAACCACCAGGCTTTTTGCCTGTTATCTACCCCAGCCATGGATTTTTGAAGGCGTTCAAAAACTTAGATCTTACTTATTATTAAAGATCTCTCATTTGATAAGTTTTGCTTTTTCACGATGGCCAAATTTTATGTGACAAAACATGGGATACATCAGTCTTAGATTAGGATGGCTTTGTAAATCCAGGGCCTATTGGAAGAGCAATTACTCTCATAGGCTATACTTAATTAGCAATTAATGAATGCAGCTGAGTAGGATATGAAGAATTATCAAAATCGAGGAGGGTGTTATCGTGCATGGTTGAAGATAAAGGGCTGTTCAGGTCTGCAAATATACTCCAAGTAGCAGATGCTGTACGTTGAGTTGTCTTCAACAAAAAAAATTTTCCGGCCCTTTGGGCCTCGGCTTGGTCTAAAAATAAGGGGGGGCCTGGGCCCCTGGGCCCCTCCCCTGGATCCGCCACTGCCTTAAATCTCTCTATTGTTAAGTACACTCACTGTCTAGGTATCAAGGTTGGAAAAATTGAAAGCATCTAAGAATTAGTTTCGTTAAATCCCATCTGTGCTCTGTTGTAATAACCAGCCAACAGAGTTTGGATTAAGAAGATAGTAGGAGCTGAATGGATGGTTGGGGACAATCTCTCAGTAACTTATGATACTCTGCTTAATTCTCCTTCCAAATTGAATCAATTGTATATTGCTCACATCTTGCAAATATGGTAAGCACCAGTTGGTTATGAAGAATTAACCGGGGGATTGGAGCCAATCACAAACAGAAAAATATTTTGAATGAATAATAATTGTCATTACTTTAATTTATTAAAAAAATTATAATAATAAAAAAGTTTTGATTGTATTGAAATATTTATTAGTGTTAGTGAGTAATCTGTGTGCAATATGTTTCCACCAGTCAGAACAGAGGACACCCCATACATTGAGGAACTTTTACACGGTAAGTTGACCATAACTTGACCATAAGAGGAAATATAGGATTACAGACCCTAAATTTTGGAATGTTGCTGGCAATCCTATCCCGATGGCTTTTCCAGACAGTTCTATGGAGAAAATCCTTAGCTAGTCTTGCAAAACACAATTTAATTGGTAGAAAACTATAAAAATTTGATACCTGCTGAGATTCTGAGAACCTTGTTTTAACTCCTGTGCTAACAGCAAAAAGTTCACTACTCTGAGACAGGAAGAAATGAGAGAAAAAAAAAGAGACTTCCTTTGTTAAGATTTCATATGAAAATTTTCTGAGACCACAATTTTGTAGGTATATTTTCCCTCATAATTTAACCTTTTGTCTCCAATATCATTATACAAATTTTTCTAATTAGCCACCAGAAATTTCTCATATCATTCATCGGGTAACTTGTTAAGAGATCAGTACAAAAGGTTTTTACCGTATGTTTTTAGTGTTGTGTTCCGGGTTTTTGTCATGTTTTGAGTCGCTTGAAGCTAACATCCCCTACCCTCGTTTTATTATGTATTAGTCGGGGGGTGTCAACTCAAAACGCCACAAAACGCAGAACACGATACTAAAAACATACGGTAAATTATCTTTATTCATATTTCTTACATTATATCAACAATTGGGATCAAAACGTGCAAACGTCTGTGTTTTATGCAGCATTTCTCCCGATCACTTAAATCAAGCCGAGAGCAGCCGTTACGAAATACATGCAGTAAATGTAAGAGATCACATGTCGGGCGTGACATCACGATGCCTTGAACAGTTGGGGTAAAGTGGACACTGTTTGAATATAGTGAACACTGTTTTAGGAGTATTTTATTAAAGCATTGAAGGTTCGCCTGTTCTTAAACAGAAGGTTCTGCATCATTCATCGTTAATGTCGGCACTATGACATGGATGTGTGATGTAAAACTGTGACTGATTAGTATGGATTCCTTGCTTCCAAAAAAATGAAAAAAATTTCCCCTCCCCTGGTAAAATCAAAGCTCCCCTAAAGGACATTGTCTGCCCTCAGTGAGCAACCTTATACAGTCCTGACCTCTATGATATGGATACTTATATCTGTTCCTTTCGTGCGCACATTAAAGATGTTTGATTTAAATCTTATTTGCAGATATGCGAAAGTGACAGGAAGTTCTCAAGATTAGTAGCTTTTTTGAAGGCAAGAAAGGTATTGATCTTTTGGGTCAAATGCCGAGTTTTGTGCAACCGGTTTCCCAATTGAACTGTACAAGTATGTCTTTAAATGCGTCAAGACAGAATACACTTTTCAGTGTTTGCTTCTTACATTTTACAGACCTGCAAGAGTATGGTATTTTTCAGCACCTGTGCCTGTGTTAATTATTTTTCAAAGGCTCTTGAAAGGTGAGTTTGATGTCGTGGTAGCCCTAAAATGGAGCATTAGTGCTTAACCAGCCTAGTCAGATACGTTTTGAAATTTAAGACTAGTCACCCAAGGTGTTTTCCCCGCTATTTCTTCATGAAAGAAGACTTTTTTAATTTTATGCACGAGATCAGAAAATTGCACAGCCAATAACAGTTTTTGAGTTCCAGTAGACTTGCTTAAAAAAAACAGATTCAAAGTCACGATCCCAAAAAGCGGTTAAAGAACCTAGACCCCTGGTTCCCAGTTATCAGTTCTTGTTACCCTGAAACAGCAAGAGGATAGACCCTGGTAACGAAGTCACGGAGTTTTTTTACCTGATAACTTTTGAGACCGAGGAACTTTTAATGAGTACAGCTTATTTAAGAGCGGATGTCAGTAAATATCGACCAGAGGTCTACAAAATTGAAAAATCGAAAATTCTCAAAAAAATTCACAAAGTAGCACTAGGTAAGCTATTAACATAAATGTAATTTTTACTTCGATCCGATAATTATTTTCCACGTACGGGGGGGTTATTGGTTTCGCGGCTCTCGGAACGGGTTTTCCAGGGCCGAGACCATGTGTCACAAAAAAATCGTTTTAAAATTCAAATCCATTGTAATGTGGACAACAAATAACTTTTTCAGAAGAGTACTTAATTGCACACATTCTAAGTGGTGATTTACTCAGTTTGAACGAAAGTGTAATATTTTGGAGATTTTTCATTATTTTCAATATTTTGAACGTTTTCGTTCAATGAAAAAATGGCAAATTTCAAAGCCCAAAATCGTCGACTGGTACCTCGATTTCAGTAACGAGTCTTATACCACGTTAAAGAGCGTTATCTCTTCTTTCAAAATCTGTTTTCAAAACTACGGGCAACTTAAAAGAAAATTTTTGAGGCCAAAAAATACAAGTAGTACTTTTCTGAAATTTGAGCTTTCCAGACGCGGCGGGCCGATGCTAAAAACTTGGAAAAATACAGTAAGAAATCAGTTTGAGCAATAGTGGTTTCATGTTATCAGCTTTCAGAAACCAAGACGTGTTTATACAGCGATCTGATATAAATTAATGCCGTTTGCTATCAAGAAAGGCAGATTTAAGCTGTCAACTCCTGCCAAGTGCACCAGTCACGTGAAGTTGTCAAAGGGAGGGCAAAGCACTAATATTAAAAAGTCTTAAAATTCAAAACGTTTTACGTCCATGAAATCAGATTTTAGCGTACAAAACAATGTTGTGAATGTCTGTTGTTCGTACCTTAGCATGGTGTTTCCATATATTGGAAATGTCAAGTATCCACACGGGAGAACATACCAAACAACAACGTTTCAAATCCAAGCGCCGAAAGATCGTAAACGGCAAAGATTGCGTTACATTTCACAGAACGACCGCTTACCACTGTTGTCACTCCTTTTTTCGCTGGAAGCTACGAGGAGTTTTCATTCCGTCATGAGTGATTCTTGATCAGCGTTTCCTTGAAAGTACGACCCCGGACAGGTGATAACTGAGGACGTTTCGTCAAGACTCCTGTTGTTCAGTTTCAGGCTTTAGCAGGTGCGTAGTCAGGATTTTTCCGGAGGTACGCCCAACTTTTTCTACATCTTCTTCCCCCCCCCCCCCCCCCCCCCCCAAATCTCAACATTTTTTTAAGGTGCCTTTATTAAAGGTGGGGTTAACGGTTGTAAGCAAAAGCATTTTTGCTGTTTATGAAATGACACAACCTCTAAAATTCTTTAATTCTGTCGGCTTGTTATGTTCATTGACGTCAACCGTTTATCATTAATTCAGCTATTAAAAATCAAGCTTGTAGTACCTCCGACTTTAGTTTACAAATGACTCTTTTTACCCCTTTTTGTCACATTATTTTTGACCGACAAAAGCACCACACATTGACGTAATTGTGCCCTACTTCGTCTACTCCGAAGACAGGTCGTGGAGAAAACAACGCGTTCACGCTTTACATCATCAAGCTTGCTATATAAATAAATCATCCAAGATTCGGTTCTCCAATTAATGTCGTCGCTTCTCTGGAAACCGATTTTTTTTAGTTATGTTTATTTCATTCTATTTTTTTTCCTCAACGTTTTCGGGTACGCACGTGCAAACCGTGCGTACAAGTAGCTACGCCCCTGTTTAGTCTCCTTAGCCCTGAGCGTTCCTCTCTTGCGGTTTTCGCGGGAGTTCAGAATGTGGTCCAACCAGTATTTCACGTCTCTTTTAAATGAGAGGCAGCACTTCTTGTTTACCGTTTCGTTATCAGACAGCGCTTAGGCTCTTAGCCTTTCATTTAATTTTGATCAAATTTTTATCATTTAGTTACTCAGTATACGTTCGATCCTGTCCTTGTAAACTTATACTTTTATACTTTAAGGGAGCTTAATACCTATATTAATTTTTTCTTCGTTTAGTGTCGTCCAAAAGACCCAGTTTTTTGGCATTTTTTAAAAAAGCAAGAAAAAGAAACGACAAGGTTTATTTTTTTTGGACTTAGATTAATTCTTTTAATCTAAAAAATTAGCATTATAACATCATTTCGAGGCATAAAACGTTCGGTGGTGTATCCTCTTTGCTTTTTACCCTTTTTGGGCCTTTTTTTTTTGAAATTGACCATCAAATTTTCCGCCATATTGAGTTTGTGTCGATTTGGTGACCATGTCTTGTTGTTTTCAGTCTCCACGGCAATGATGCTGGTGTTTCAGGCCTCCCGTTCTCAGATTTCTTGTGATTTTTTTTTTCACCCCACCGACCGACCCACCCAAAACCAGGAAACCTATTCGACGCTAAACGAACGAAAAGGGGATGACCTAAGCCTTATGGTTTCTTTTTGGGCTTCCTCACCACATTGCTTCTGCGTGTTTCTGTATACTTGTCTTTTGCTTTGTTTTGTTCTTTTTTGTCGGTAAAATAAACTGAAACTGTACAAAGACCCTCAATATTCCCTTTGGAGGTTCTCGAACGCGCATAAAAAAAATGAAAAACGCGATGATTTATTGACCGCAAGGGCAATGGGGTGGGGTTAGGGCTCGTTACTGCGCTCCGGTTCACTCGTACGCTGTCAAATGGTCCCGAAATACAAAATGAAAAATGACTGTGGACAGACTATTCACGTCTAGACATCAAGCATCTTTTAAGATGGGACTTATCGCCTCTCCCTGTTCATGGAGTTGATTCAAGGTGTTGACGTTAATTTCGTGATGCCCTGCATGTTGCCAGGACATGTTTCAAAAGGGCCTTTCCAAAGGTACGGAGTCCGCCGTCACCTTGTCAACCGTGCGAGAAATGATGTACTTCACAAAAACAAAGAGAAGTTATTTTCGATTTGCCCCGCCCCCTACCCCCGAAAGTCCCCGACAGGACCGCTTCAAAGTACTCCCCATGTGGTTGCGCGGGGGATAGTAACAGGTCTACCTAATTGCACCGTGCATCAATGACAGTTTAGCTCAATCAGAAGCCCCTTTTCCCTGGCTAGTTCAAGGTGTGTGCACCTCCTTTAAGCTGTTGTTTTCGGTTCTTACTGAAATTTTTGATCTTGAGGAAATTCACAACGACAGGAGCAGGTTATGGGCTTTTTTCCTAGCCCTAATCCTACATCACGGGAAATCCCTCAGGTTAGGCAAGAATTCGATAATCCTTCCATAATCATCCATTTTTTCACCGCGTGAATTGGGTATTTTTAGCTTATTTCGAGGAAATACTTTTTGCTTCAAATCCAGGGTGGGCTTTTAAACACATTTTTTAAGCCAAATGGTTTTTGCGAGAATCTGCTTACCCGAACTTTTCGCATAAAAAACGACAAATACCCGAAAAAAGCTCATGTTGTTGGTGGTGGTGGCATATTTCCGATAAATTCAGCTCAATGTCTCGTGAAGAAGAGTTCAGATCCGTGCCGCGCGCCTCTCGAGGCAAGCGTTCCGTCGAAATGCGAGCCCAAAAACAGGTGGTAAGCGGTCAATCTGTGAAAAGTAACGCAATCTCCGTCGTTTGAGAGCAGCCGAAGATGCTCTTGCCGATGCTGTCCTTGATGTTTTTTATTTCCAGTATCTAGGAAACCCATGCTAAGGTATGAAACATACACTCGTAGGCATTGTTCTGTCCGCTAAAGTCTAATTCCTGGACGCAGAAACGTTGTGCTTTTTGAAGTTTATTATTGTGCTTTGCCCTTTGACAACCTTACGTCACTCGTGCGTTTGGTAGCAGAAGATGGCTAAACTCTGCTTTTCTTGTTGGAAAACGGCTTTAAATTTTATCAGATCGCTCGATAAACACGTGTTGGTTTCTGATAGCTGATAACGTTAAATCACTGTTGCTCAAACTGATTTCTTATTGCATTTTTCTGAGTTTTTAGCATCGACCCGCTGAGTCTGGAAAGCTCAAATTTCAGAAAAGTACTACTAGTATTTTTTGGCCTCAAACATTTTCTTTTAAGTTGCCCGTAGTTTTGAAAACAGATTTTGAAAGAAGAGATAACGCTCTTTAACGTGGTATAAGACTCGTTACTGAAATCGAGGTACCAGTCGACGATTTTGGGCTTTGAAATTTGCCATTTTTTCATTGAACGAAAACGTTCAAAATATTGAAAATAATGAAAAATCTCCAAAATATTACACTTTCGTTCAAACTGAGTAAATCACCACTTAGAATGTGTGCAATTAAGTACTCTTCTGAATAAGTTATTTGTTGTCCGCATTACAATGGATTTGAATTTTAAAACGATTTTTTTGTGACACATGGTCTCGGCCCTGGAAAACCCGTTCCGAGAGCCGCGAAACCAATAACCCCCCCGTACGTGGAAAATAATTATCGGATCGAAGTAAAAATTACATTTATGTTAATAGCTTACCTAGTGCTACTTTGTGAATTTTTTTGAGAATTTTCGATTTTTCAATTTTGTAGACCTCTGGTCGATATTTACTGACATCCGCTCTTAAATGGTTTGACAGATATTGCGCGTTGGTCTTGTACCCGTTCCATTCTTTTTTCCAAGCCTTGTGACTTTTCACTAAATAACATCTTAGGTGAATAAAAGACTTACCTTTTAAGTTTCTCTTTTTATTTATTTAGATATATATTTATTATGTAACATTTGGCCAAATGTCAAAGGAAGATGTTAAGGAAATATCTCAATGTTTTATAATATTTGGATATTTCTTCCACGCATCATCCAGTGGGCGCGTTGGATTTGTGATGGTAGGGAGGTGCAAACTTGGCTGGGGTCGTAGATTAACCCTACCTCCGTCCCTATCTGGAGTAACCCCACTGAGGGGTTACTGTTCCCTGATTAACCCTTTCACCGCCAGAGTGCTTGATTGAGTTGGAAATTTGGTCGAAATTTGCTTTTGGCTAAATTTGGCAGTGAAAGGGTTAACACAGTGGGGTCGAAACCACCCTAAGGCTATAACTGCAAACAATTGTCATTGCAGACTTCTCACAAATGTCAATGTGCTGTCCATCCATGGAAAAATGAAATCCAAAAGACACAAAGTTTTTGATTCATTTAGAACGTTATCAAGGTAAGTAAGGTAGGAAGTAGTCTTGTACAAACCAATGATAACTGAACGAAACACAAGAACATGAAACATGAGAGCAGTAAAAGTTGTTCGTGAGAAAAAAAGGGCAAGATTCCAGAACCACAGAAAGTGTAGTTCTGCGACGTGATATTCAAGTCAAGTCATTGTGGGGTCCTTACAGAATGGCCCTCAAATACAAAAACATGCTCTTAATGCCAGACTCGGGCTTGCTTGAGAGGGGTACCATGGCAAGCATAACTGACGAAAATGGAATGAGCTCCATACGACGAAACGACTGGCCAACAGCACTCTCTGATGTTCACATTCTTTCAGAGAACCATTTGATTCCTCAATTTTTAGTTAATGAAATTATGTTTATGTTTAATTTATGTAATATTTAATAAACCATTGTCGTACTCTTGACGATGAACTGAAATGGCTTGTAAATGAAGGGGTTGGTTTCTTAGGAAACTTAGCGAGCTGCGACAATGGGAAGTGAAACTCAAAACAGTTTTTGGTTAAGTAGCCTGTAGTCGAGGCTTATGTTTTGAAATCGTTTAGTAATAAATCCATGATTGTAGTCCTAAATGCACACCGCAGAAGCACTGACTTCATTGATAAATGGGCATGATACTATAGGTGTTGTTAATGAAGTCGGTGTACGTGAAGGTAATTATGCATCTGTTATCTCTTTATGGTATCTCCTGCATTAGCGTCGACTGCTGGCTAGCTCCAGACCGTCGTTTGTGATCTCTCTGTGCGGTGTTGCTTTTCTTTTTTTCAGTGGTGTTCTTGTATGTACAGACGTCATGGCCAGAGGAGTAGACATACCAGAAGTGGATTGGGTCGTTCAGTTTGATCCTCCAAGCAGTGCTAAGTATGAATATGTGCATTCAGCTTTTGTTATGAAATCCACGAAATGTTTCAGTTCCAAACATCTTACGGCCTTAAGAAAAAGAAATCTTTTTGTCTCAGCCCTCCAAACATGCGTTGTTCGGCTCATTAAAAAAAACAGTTTAAGACATCATATTAAAGATTAAGATCAAGAGAAGTTCCTCGTTTTCCTTGAAGTGAACTGAACAGCGATTCCACTATCGGGCATAATAATCTTCTTGTGTGACAGAAAGCTTCAGAATCAACGCGTTTTGCGCTTACTTGGTTGTCTTCACTATTGTAGTTGAAAATCTTAGATTAATACATATGAAATTACGATAGGCCATTTTGCAACCAGCATAATATTTGGTAGGTCACGTGCAGAAGTAGTGTGTCCAGCAATTCAATTAACTTAGTAATACTGAATAGATGCGTCTGCTTTCTAACGAAATTGTTTTCCCGCTCTTGGTGCCCGCCATCTGCATTTGCTTCAAGATTTGATTGTTTAATTGTCTGTTAGTATTCTACTTTGCGAGAGCAATCATTTTGATTTTGGTTTTACTACACTCCGTGAAAACTGCTCTAAAAATTCTCATTGTGCATGGTATGAGCATTTCTACCTATGTCACTTTACAGTGCCTTTGTTCATCGCTGCGGAAGGACGGCAAGAATTGGCAACCAAGGTAATATTCCACATCCAAAACCCCATCCACATTAACAGAAATCTGTTAATGGGTCAGTTGGCTTGTCACGTCGGCATGTTGGGTGTACTCAGTTTGCCTTGAGTTAAAACAACAGGAAGTTTAAGATTATACTTAAGTGGCTTGTAGTGACAAGCACTTCGCTTTCGTAATGAGCTTCTGGAAAAAAATGGTGTGGAAATTTAACATAAAAGTTTTACGTTTTTAAATTTTAGGAGGAAGACCAATTGCTATTTTGTACGTGTGACCAAGACAAATGTTGAAAAATTGGTCCTTATACAAGTCAAGACCGTATAAGTCCAGGGAGACTTTTGCTAAAGACGCATCGTTTTCTAATCCGTCAATATGACCGCTTGAGAATGCTTCCACCAGTACTGGATAGGGGTTACCTAGAGTACCCTCTCTTGCAAAAGAATCAGTTACGATGCATAAAAATGCTCTTGAATGCTTTTGCTCTTTTAAGAAGCAAGCAGCTTTTTAAGAGGCTTTGTCACGGCCCTGTAGTTCATTCTGTAACCGTTAACGAAGAATTACTTGTCAATGACAAAATGATACCTTAATGCCCCCAAAAATATGTTTCTCAAGCATTATATCAAACGTTACAAACAAAATAATTAGGTTTGTAAAAACTGTTCAGTAGACTTTAAAGTTTTCAAAACCCACGAGTGCAATCCGTTTGGATCTTCAAGTTTTTTTTCATCCCTGCCTTTTTTTGTTTGTGCTGTTATTTATTCCCTATTTTTTGTCTTTTAACGGCTTGAGCGGTGATTTTAATGTTTCTCGCAGTTAGTGGAAGTTCTTATTGTTTGAATTTTGATAAATGTCGTGACGTACTGTTGTAAAAAACGAGCAGGAGTGTATTCTCGAGGTGAAGCCGAGAGTTTTTAAACCTGATAATACACGCCTGCGAGTTTTTTTGAACGGATTCAAAATCTCTAATATGGATCAAATCATTCTTGCAGAAATATTTAGATTTGAGGTTATTTTGGTCTAAAAAGTGGACGTAAAGTTTAGCCGTGTCCTTATCAGATATGAGGACACTCATGAAACATTAATTTCTTTTGTTTTTTTTCTGTTTGAATTATTAATGAGTTTTTGAAACAGTCCGTAAAGTGGAACGATTTGTTGAACTTCGTCTTCTAGGAAATGCTTTGTTATTTTTACTTCCTGCCGAGGAGTCTTATGTAGACTTTATGTCTATTAACCAAAAGGTATGTTGAGGTTCTCGCTTTGTTGTGTTAATTCTAACGCGACTTGGGACTTGAAGATTTTGTGCTAAAAGAGCAAGATATAGCCTCAGAAAACAGCCGAAATCTAGTTTCATTGCGAAATGAGCTGAGAAACGAGCGCTACTGATGACGCGTCACTACCCAGATCTGGGTGGTGCCTTTGATTGGCTGAAGCAAATTTTCCGCGCGGCACGGCCAATCAGAAGCACTGCCCAGATCTGAGTAGTGACGCGTCATCAGTATGGAATATCTGCGCTTCAGTCATTACGCGGAGAAACCAGTGGTGGCGTCGCGAAATGTTGGCTTTAGCCTGCGAGCAAGCTCTCCTATTTGGGCCAGTGACACAAGTCTCGCGAGAACGCGCGAGGGCCCCTCGCTCGCGCGTTCTCGCGAGGCTCACTTCGCTTGCCCAAATAGGAGAGCTTGCTCGCAGGCTATGTCGGCTTTTTCAGGCTAAGCAAGATAACGTTGATTTCTTTTCTGTGTCATCCTCTAGAAATTAAAAACAGTTAGAAACACCCTTTACTGTGAGAGTCAGTTATGTGTGGCATCGTATTGCGTAATATCAAAAAGGCTGTAAATATAGGGATATGTATGTGGAACTCCTGTAGCATATTTAAGAAGATAACTATACGCACAATTCTTTTAAAAAGTCGCACCTTATCTTCATGATTTCCTGATCCTCAGCGATTTAAGCGTTCCTTTGTATCCCATTTTTCCCATCAAATCCCTATAATTAATTGCAGCAGCTTAGATATTACATGATAATCCGGTACTGTACTTTAGCCTAACCGACTCTCACACTGAACTTGAATGTCTGTGAAATGGCATGAAGCAAGGTATAACAGGTTTTAATAACTTTCTTATCTGAAGGACACTGCGTACATTTCTTTGTGATGGTTGTGGATAGAACGTGACCAAACGTCTTTACCTTGCGTCCAAACAGGTACCTCTCGACTTCTTGGAAATAGAAGATAATTCTGTGGACGCCACACCTAAGTTAAGGAAAATGGCGTCTAAGGACAGGTAGATGATTCGTTTTTTAATCCTATCCGATATGATGTTTTTGGTTGAATTTTATAGTTTAACTAGAATGGCTTGGAACGTATTGTCTAATGCTGTTGTCTTGCTCGGGCAAAACCATTAAGGCTCTCACTCGCATCTCCTTCCGCGTGGGGCCCTCGCCTGTCTTCTCGCGACTCCCCCAAATAGAGACTTTGCTCGCTGGCTAGAGGAGTACGACCTGAATTTAGACTCCACTTACTAGTTGTCAGTATAAGTTCCCCCTTCTGAAGCTTGCGTTGTAAACATTATCAAAGCGAAATACAGACTTACAAAGACATGTGGTCACATACCGTACAGATTCCATCCTGTACTTTATAGAACTACTCCCTGCCACTTGTATATTCGCAAATTTATTTATCGAGCGTTTCATTTCTTTGTTTTAGGGATGTTTACGAAAAGGGAATGAAGGCATTTGTTTCGTTTATACAGTTCTACAGAAAACACGAGTGCAGTCTGATCTTCCGATCAGCGGGTAAGAAGATAGCGTAAACTTCCGCTAAAAAGCCCTTGGCTTTTTACAACTTTGTGACGGGTTTTAGGAGGGCTAATATGCTGTTTCAGTAGCAAGGGTGGCACAGTAGGTTAGTGCGCGGCCTTCGGTGTGCGAGGTCCCGAGTTCGATCCCCAGTGAAATCACATCCTTGTTTCAACTTCTCTCCTTTATGTTTAGCTTTGACTAGCTTTAAAAACCCTTAAAACGGAGCATTGATGGAGAGNAAGGCTCTCACTCGCATCTCCTTCCGCGTGCGGCCCTCGCCTGTCTTCTCGCGACTCCCCCAAATAGAGACTTTGCTCGCTGGCTAGAGGAGTACGACCTGAATTTAGACTCCACTTACTAGGTGTCAGTATAAGTTCCCCCTTCTGAAGCTTGCGTTGTAAACATTATCAAAGCGAAATACAGACTTACAAAGACATGTGGTCACATACCGTACAGATTCCATCCTGTACTTTATAGAACTACTCCCTGCCACTTGTATATTCGCAAATTTATTTATCGACAGTTTCATTTCTTTGTTTTAGGGATGTTTACGAAAAGGGAATGAAGGCATTTGTTTCGTTTATACAGTTCTACAGAAAACACGAGTGCAGTCTGATCTTCCGATCAGCGGGTAAGAAGATAGCGTAAACTTCCGCTAAAAAGCCCTTGGCTTTTTACAACTTTGTGACGGGTTTTAGGAGGGCTAATATGCTGTTTCAGTAGCAAGGGTGGCACAGTAGGTTAGTGCGCGGCCTTCGGTGTGCGAGGTCCCGAGTTCGATCCCCAGTGAAATCACATCCTTGTTTCAACTTCTCTCCTTTATGTTTAGCTTTGACTAGCTTTAAAAACCCTTAAAACGGAGCATTGATGGAGAGTGGGGGCTAAAATGAGCGCACCGTCGACCTCAAGTTTTTTCAGCTATTTCTGCCACGAGTTATCGACGTAAAATGTGGTTGCAAATATGGCAGAGAAAAACTTGTTCTTTAATTATAGCTTTTATTTTGATTTAAAATTTATAACATAAATAATGTAGGTAATACCTTGTACTCACGTGGGAATACTGAAATAAAGTTGTTGTTGGTTGCTTTACCTTCTTACCTATTTCGGTCAGTAGGAGACATAGAAATAGTTTCTTCAAATAGTACTTTAAGCACATTTTCAAATGCAAATGAACAGAGACGATAAACAATATATATAAAAAACGAAGGTAAGAAACAATACCATACAATAGTATTGTTTCTCTCCTCCAGTTTTATATATATATATATATATATATATATATATATATATATATATATATATATATATATAAGAAATCTATATAATATCAATATAATAAAGTTTATCGTTTCTGTTCAATTGCATTTTGTAATGGTGACTATAATGGTGACTTGTCACCACCGAAACGTCATGTTTTTATCACGCCAGTTTTTGCGTTTAAATGATTTACGAAATCTTTTGTTGCCAGTCACTACTTTTAGCGCTTATAGGACGTTTTCACTCGCGTGGCCAGCATCTATGCTATATAATTTATTGGAAGAAAAGAAAGTTTTTACATAAGAACAGAATTCAACGCCCACAGGATTGTCTAGGTACACCAACATGGCCGCCATTCCATTGTTTTGGAACACCAATATGGCCGCCGTGACGTCACGCTCTATTCGTTGGCACTCAAATAAAGTGTATTGCTGGTCTCATTATAAGTTCCTACCATTCATACACTCGATAGTTCTGAATGATTTGTTTGTGTCTTTTCGTCTAGATTTAGATCTTGGGAAGCTAGCTACAGGATTTGGCCTTTTAAAATTGCCTGTTATGCCGGAACTTAAGGACAAAACAGTAGAATTCGAGCCAGTGGATGTCGATGTTGAAAGGATATGCTACAAAGACAAAAACCGGGAAAAACAGAGAAAAAGAAAACTGCAGGAACAGCAGGACTGTAAGCAGAGTACTACGCCGCAGGCAAACACGAAAAGGAAGAAACCGGGGCGTGATTCCGTGCCCTGGTCGAAAAACAAAGAAAGGAAAGTAAAAAGAGAGAAGAGAAAAGCACGTCGCGAGTTTTTGAAGAAGCAACGTCAAAAACAGCGACTTGATGAAGATGAACTTGAGGATCTAGCACGTGAGGCCCGTCTCGTCAAAAAACTGAAGTCTGGAAAAATTAGCAAAGAAGAGTTTGAGTGCCAACTTGGAATTGAAGATGAAGACACTTAAGGCTTTATACCGTAAATAGGCCACCTCATTAGTGTCAGATCTGGCGGCTGCGTGCTTTTGAGCCCAGATATACACTGTAAATTAAAAAGATCTGTTTCAGCCCCAAAGTGTCAATTCAGCCCTGCAGGCCAAAGTCTGATTCAGCCATTTGGAGCCATTTGAGCACAATTTAGGCCAAAAAGGCTCTATCAAAAGACTATTCCAGCCCACGTTAGGGCCCATTTCAGCCCTGGGACCAAATCAGCCCTAGCTAATTGGACTGTATTGGCCCTGATTTAAGGGAGCCAAATTAGACCCAAACATAGGACTGTATTTTACTCACCGAAACGGCCCTGTTTTTAGGGCTAAAACATATCTTTCTGATTTAGAGTGTAGTTAAACTTCCATTAAGCGGCCACTCTTGGAGTACAGGCAAGTGGCCGATTAATGGAGGTCGGCCACTCAATAGAGGCTCGTCTTAAATTAGCATAATCTTTGGCAAAAACATCACTGACTTTACTTCAAAACAAACGCGCGACGGGAGAAGCATAACTGGTCCACAGTCGGTCGTCAACTTCTATCTCGGACTGTATTTTCCATCATCGTATTCCTAGAATGTAGCCAAACTAAGTCTATCAAGCGTTTGATAGCCGCTAACTAGAGATGACAATGGGAGAACTCTCGTTGGTACGGCCAAAAGGTGGATGCGGTCGCTTAATAGAGGTTTATTTTCCCATTCTTTTGTACAATTATTCCAGGACTTAAGTTACTTGCCGCTTGATAAAGGTTCAACTTTATGTTCATGAATCAGATTCGTGTTCTTTTGATAGACATCACGAAGAGTCCCCTACCCTAATCCTCGCTTAAACGCAAGAAATTGACCACTCCAGAAAATACCACAACATACCATAATGCTCTTTGTTTGTCACCCCCAAATTTTTGCATAAGCATTGTCGTCAGTTTCTCATGGGGCCATTTTAACTCCCAAGAGAAACTAAAGACAATGCTTAGTCAAAATTTTGGGGTGACAAACAAAGAGCATTATGGTATGTTATGGTATTTTCTGGAGTGATCAATAGGCCATTTTCCGAGTTTAAACTCTCACTTTCAAAACGAGGCTAAGTGCAAAATCTTTGTTGTGAAAACGAGATTTTCTTGCATGAGATTACAAATCGTTTTCATATCAATGGGTTTGCACTTAGCCTCGCTTTGAAGCAGAGGTTTGAGGCGGAAACTTTGAAATGGCCCACTCTGTCTACATGAACTCATATGGAAATTAGAAGTACATGTAATTGTGTGTAATACGAATTACCAGTGAAGTACCCGACTTTTCGAGTTTTCTTGCATTTCTGGAAATAAGTCTTTGATCCTACAGTTAGCCTACAGTTTGCTCCAAATCTCTGAGATCCAAATTGACTTAACTGATTTCTATGGTTAATAAATGCATCCCTGCAAACAACTGAGGATTGAATTTTGCGTATACGCAAAAGCTACATTAAATTGTACTGTCTAGACTTGTTCTATCCAGCTCGCAACAAAAGCAGGGTGGATGACATTAAATTCCTTCATCATTACAAGAAATGTGCAAGTCCCACTTAATCCTTTTAAAGGACATATTTTATTGATACAATGCTAACTATTAAAATCCTATTTACAATTAATTCACTAAAAAAACTATTCCGTCAGAACACTATTTACAATTCCTTTCGTTTAAAAAAACACTTAGTTTTGATTAGAAAAAAATCATGTAATTGAAATATATATATATATATGGTAACTTTATTGATAACAAAGCTAACTATAAAATCCTATTTACGATGTATTTCCCTTAAAAAACTATTCAGTCAAAAGACTCAAAACACTATGTACAATTACCAGGGTTACCCTAGCACTCGCATATTTCTTCTTTTTTCACAAGACGTGTTTACATTACATTAGGCAAGAGTTTTTCTCTCACTCAATAGTTTGGAGAAACTGGTTTTCAGAAGAAAAAAAGAAAATCGTTACCCGCCTCTCGTTTCGCCGTTACGCTGTTACGGGGATTACTAAGAACCGACCGAAACGACATCGTAGTATCGCGCGCAGTGAGAGAGTAGATAGGCCCTTCGATCCTCCTAGATTAGACGGAAAAAGGAAGACTTATCTAGAAATATCAAATGGCGTCTGTTCAAAGAGTAGAGAATAGATGGAACTGCCTCAAGAGTTTTGTCCGAGGTTTCAGCTGAACCCAGAGCATTCAAGGGCGGATTTAGGGGTGGGCCGAAGGGGCCCTGGCCACCCCTTTTTTTTTGAAATTTTGCAGTATTTTTCATAGAATGAAGTATTTATATAGCTGGCAAGTGAAAAAGGGGTCCGGCCACTCCTTTCTGCATTTTCTGAATCCACCCCTGGTATTTAGAGTCGCTACAAAGTCCCCCAATTTAATTTTCAAAAAATTGTAATAAGCAACGGGTTCACTCTGTTTCTTACCCTATTCCACCTTTTACTGTTCATTGCGAGAAAATACGCAGTCAGGCATTTGCGCATTCATTTTCATATTTAGCGAGATTGCCTGAATCTTGCATTTCTTTCAGTCGATGGTGCAGGACTGAATGGACATTTAAAGATCTATTCATACCAATTGCAAAGAAATAAAACTTGGCACGCGTTGAAGACTAGGCCTGAAGCCTGAAGTAGTTGCTAAACTCAAACATAAAATGTGTTATGAAGCTTAAGCCGGTCTCATAGGTGTTGTTGGCCAAATAACCGTCGTCAGGCTCAGAATATCTAAACCTTATTCTCTTCAAGATTATTGATTGTTATCGATTACTATCGACTGTTTTAGATTTTAGTCAATCATTAGTAATCAATAAATTATTCAGTTTTCTGTGATTTTGATTTCTATAGATTTCTGAGTAAATCGTTAATAATCGGCGGATTAAATCAATTATAAGGATTGATTTCCGATATCGATTTCTATCGATTAAGGGGCCAACCATTTGACTTTTGAGAAGGGGGGTATGGGTTATTTCAGATAAAAATATCCTGCAGACTGATTTCGAGGGAGAAAAAAATCTTTCAAGGAAATACCAGGCGAAAAAAATTTCTAGACTGGAAAAAAATTTTTTTTAAGGCGTATGGTGCTAAAAAAATCTTACACTTCTGTATGCCTGGAAAAGTTATATCAACAGAGGTTTGGGAAAAAATTTTTTATCCAAATCAAATCACCCATACCCCCCTTCCCCCATCAAAGGTCAAATGGTCGCCCCCTAGCTAAGCCTGGAAGTAAAACAGTTTCTTTCCACAGGGTATGAGCCCCGAGGTTGGTTGGGTTGTCGGTAAGGTTGCGCTGAAGTCTGGCTCCAACTAGAAAATCACTGAGGTTGCTACTACGTCAGACTCTGAGCACGGTCTCTTATTTTCTTCAAAGACTCTGGAGTAGGACGCGCGAGCCCTGAGTTTGGCTAAAAGCGTTTGTAGTACGTACGCACTCACTCCGTCTAAGAACTCGACAGGTCTAAGAGAAAAGGCAGACTGCAAGAACCCAGCAAGCAGTCTACTACTACGTCCATACGCTGTCTACTGCACCGCCCTAATGTTTCCAGTAATGGTTATCCTTCTTTTAAATTACGTACAACCGATTATAACAGAATAATAGTAAAAAAGACTACTGCAAACAGATTTTTCAGATTTTATTGTTTTTGCACTATTTAGATATTGATTACATTGAAATTTTAATTTGTATAAGTACCTTACGGAACAATGTCAGAAATAAAGATAACAACTGAGAAATAGGAATTAAGACGTGCGCAGTGCCCAAAGTAGCTAATGATTTCGGGTTGGTCACTGCCACGTTAAGCTAGTTGGCATAGACAATAATCGTCGTGAAAAGTAATTATACGAAGAGAAAAGGTGCTAAAGTAACGATATTGACGTGCGTTAAACAAAACTAAGAAAACAAAGAACAAAACAACAACAAAAAACAACAACAAAACATGGCTAAAACACTGATGAAACAACGTGAAAAAGGCTGAGGTATACAATATTTCGACTGGCCAATACCAGTCCTCCATGAGTTTTCGTCGATCAGGTTTATTAGGAAAAACCACGAATATACAGAATACCGTAGTGTACTACTGTAAAATAATAAAAGGAAGTTACATACTATGACATGGTAAAGTATGGCTGCTAAGAAAAATAAACCGAAAAAAAGAGAAAGATCACACAATGATTATTCTTTGTCACGTTTGTTCATTCCCAGAGGCTTGATGGTTTGAGGTGCGCCTCACACGTGCTTTCATAAGGATACTGAGAGCGAAAAGCAGCCATGTTGGTTGCCCCGACGACTTGTACGTCATGGATCACGTGGTGGTTTTCGTTCCGCTCACCGCGCCCCGTTTCCCCCTCCATCTTGTTTCTTTACTTTCGGGTTTAACACTGTCATCGTTAGATATCTTCTATAATCTTGACCATCGAGATGACGGAGAAGGATAAAAGTATTTACATGGCCAAGTTAGCGGAGCAGGCAGAACGTTACGAGGGTATGTGTGTTCTGTTAGAATGCAGAGTTGAGCTGAGTTAAGCTAGTTTTTGGATCTCGGGCTTTGCTGTTTAACTGGCCAGTGTCCTACAATTTCATCTGTTTTTATTGTGCATTAATGAAAATTATTTCTCTTGGGAATAGCGAAATCTTCTTGATTAAAGTTAGCCCCCGATTTCGGGGTAGTTTGACATTTGTTGGTATTGCACGGCCAGGTATATATTTCAAAACATTGGATGACATCTTTGTTTACCTCAGTATGCTGTCGCTATGTATAATCCATAGCAATATCTATTACGTGTTTGACGGATGTGAAAGGCCGTGTCTACTGCCTTTTTCAGAAATGGTAAAAGAAATGAAGAAAGTGGTCAATGCCGGAGAACCTCTCACCGTAGAGGAACGCAATTTGTTGTCAGTAGCCTTCAAAAACGTTATTGGTGCAAGAAGAGCTTCTTGGCGCGTTCTGTCAAGTGTAGAAAAAAACCAAGAAGAGTCCCATGACGAAAAATCCCCAAATAAACTACAATCAATCAAAGAATACAGACAAAAAGTTGAAAAGGAATTACGAGAAATTTGCGAGGATATTTTAAAGTTGCTAGAGAAAACACTCGTCCCCATGGCGGTCGATACAGAGTCGAAGGTCTTTTACAATAAAATGTAAGTACAGTACTGTACAGCCCATAGTTAGACTTTTTATTTTAATATTTAACATATTTTGCTACTTTTATTCCGTCATTAAAAACTGTTTTGGTGGAGAAAATAGCAGGCCCCTGACCTGTCGAGAGCCCCTAGACATTTGTTATTCTTTTTACATCTACCCTTTTGAAAAGTGTTAACTTGCGTTCAAGTACTTTATCAGAACGAGAACGTTGTAGGGTTTACCCGTTGTAGGAATGTTCCGTTTTTTCCTATATATTTTTTCTGTCTGGTTATTGTGCCCAGTATCCAGTGACTAAATGAAATAAGTTAGGGAAAGCTTTCCTTACAACGCCATCCATTAATTATTTAGTGCTTCTTCAAATAGATGTAAAATTTAACACTAAACAGTTTATTTTGTCGATGAAGTATTAGAGCAGCTAAAACGTAATTGTTGATACACTATTTAACTTTGAAAGGCTGCTTCGTTTTGTGATAGAATATCTTTAATTTCTAAGCCTTTGCATGTTGTAACATTTATAATTTTTCAAATGCTAACATTAGCAGAAATGATTTACCCAAATTTAAAGAGTTTTGTGGGAGACACCATGTTGGATAGGCACCAACATAGTGGCCAGAAATTAACCGAAACACCTGTCGCAGAGTTTTCCTACGAAAGCATGAATTCGTCTCTCAAGGCACTCATAAACATTAAAGCAATACTTTTTCTAATACAATAACCGTTCTGATGGCAAAATCCCCCAAAATAAGTCACTTTTTTAACCTACACATCAGCTCTCTTGGCCCCCATAATATACAGATGTTTCGGTTAATTTCTGGCCACTATGTTAGTGCCTATCCAACATGGTGTCTCCTACAAAGCTCTTTGAATTTGGGTAAATCATTTCTCCTAATATTAACATTTGAAAAATTGCACTGACCTGAATCTTGGCAAGGGCCTTTACATTTCAACCTTCTCTCATTTCCCTGTTTCTCGATTTCATCTATTGAAAAGTTTAGATTTCAATTTTTGTTGGTGTGACAGTGAAAACAAACAATAGGGCCGATGGCATTTGGAAAACTTGCATAATTCAATCAGTAATATCGTCTTTTTATTATTCAAAAGTTTTAGTCAATCATTGATTGTACAGGTCTTTCAATATACAAATGCATTAATTATAACCCCCTTTTCGTTAACAGAGGTCAGCTCTAGATCCAAGCATACTACCTTATGCGAAAGTTGCATGTTAATGATTTTGTTTTGGCTGAGGGGCGCCTGAGTTTTACATTAGAGACCTCAAGATTGAGGTTTTTTGGCATTTTGGGGAATCGTGAATTTCAAAAAGTCACATTACCAGGGCCTTGCTGTCAGGTTTGCAGTTTGAGGTTCATGTTTGTAGGTCTAGACCATGCTCCAGAAAAAAGTGATTTACTGCAAGGTTTTCTGCACCCTAAAACATCACAATCCTACATTTGAGAAGAAACTCTTCTAATTTATAAGACAATTTCTCAGCCTAAATAGGAGTAAGTGGATGAATGAAAGCAAACATGGCAGCCACGAGCTACCACCTGTGAATCTTACAGTACCGCTCAAAAGTAGGTAGACACTCAAAACTCGAGACTCGATCCTCACATCTCGAAGCTCGAACGCTTCGAGTTTCGAGATGCGAGGATCGAGTCTCAAGTTTCGAGGATCCAAGAAGCTAGGTTTTCTGAAAGAACAATGTTGTACAGTCACGTAGCCATTCAGATATTCGCACCGTCGATCAGTGCTTGCTGTGCGGTGTTCTGTAACTGTTTGAATTGTCGGGGTTCGGCAAGCTTTCATTAAGTGTAAAACGATGTTTTCATTTTCGAAGATTTATCCTGCATGTACAGTGTATGTAGCCTTTGCTTGCCATGTTCTGAGATTTTCGCAGATGAACAGTGCCGCTCGGCAATTCATTCTGTGAATTAAGGTTGTCATGGTTTTATGCAAATCTTGATGAAGATTACAACATTTGAGTTGTTAAATTTGCTTGTTTGGCAAGCTTTAACTTCTTTTGTGTAAAGGCGGTTTAGGACATGTAGCCTTTCACTTGATAATTTGAAAACTTGGCGATTCCGGGGCTTGTCGCGCATTTGGTGTATGTAATAATGTTCATAAAGCCATGAGAAACTACGTTTGTTCTAGAAAGCGAAATTTTCACGTGCACGTTCAGTCGATACCATGGCTTGTCACACTGTTACTGTTTGTAAATAGGCAAATCTACGATTAGTCACACAATAATTTCACGGAAAACTTTATTTGTAACAAAAAGTGACTTTTTCACGAGCATTTGAGTTATTAAATTTTTCATTAGTCAATTTCACATAATAATTAGGTTACATAAATTATTTATGTAACCTTTCATTCGCCATGTTCATTCGAAAACACGGCTCAGCGACTCCGTGAATTATAAAACTGGCTTTTATGCAAATCTAGCTGATGTCACCGGAAACTTTGTTTGCTGAGGCGAGATTTTAACACATGATCATTTGAATATTGAAAAAAAGGTCCAAACTCGTTTTGTTCAAACAACAGAAAGTGACAAGGAATGCACGAGCACAGGCACTCTGCAAAAAATTGGAAAAGTAGTTGTCACGTGATTCGGAGTTTGACAGACAGACAGACCTCCTGGTATCGATTTGTGAGATAGATAAGATCTAGTTTTCAGATCGAAGCGTGTGAAGCTGTGATCTTGTTTTGGAACGACTAAAGAAGATTTATGGTTGAAAAATTTGGTTTGAGTACATTTATCTACAGAGTCGGTTAGTTATTGTTCGCTTTCAAACAGAGGCTCTTTTTACCACTAGACTGACGTAAGAACGATGGAAAGTCAAAAAGAATTACGGCTGTATGCTGTGCACGAGTGATGTTAATATGGTGGTTTCTAGTACGGGGTTGTTTCTTTGTTGTTTACTTTTTGAAAGCTATTACATATATGTATCTTGCCTGCCTTCACTTCTAAAAAGCAAGTTTCAAAAGGACTATTAGCAAGAGACCAGAAGCAAACATTTTCGCCTTCAAAACGTGAGCTTCGCTTATGCAAAAGTGAACAAGTCTCACCCAATGCACGGAGCTGTGATTTTTAGAATGAAAGGTAAGTGTACACTTTTAGAGGGAGCGCTTTCTCGACTCGAAATTTAAAACTCGATCCTCGATCCTCGAAACTCCAGACTCAATCCTCTAGATGCAAGACTCTATCCTCGAAAGTTTCGAGAATCGAGTCTCACGTCTCTCAATTTACTTTTGAGTGGTACTGTAAGTCCCAAATGTGGGCAGACAGGTGACGTGAAACCGCTAACCACAAACCGCAGTCTGTCGTATGCAGTAAAATGACCAACGTGGATCTTAAGGTCTCTATTCACTCACGTATCCTTATGAGGGAACCCTTGGTATAAGCTTCTCACGCTCATGAGCATTAACTTGCACTGTTATTCTATCAATTCTCAATGTCTTTATGTGTATTTGCGCTACTAGTATCTTTTTCATGAGCAGTGGGGTGGTTTAAATTTCCATATAAATATAGAATAAATAATGATTATTTTTAGCTTGCCCAGGGTTTGAACTTGCTTACGTGTGACCCGTTATATCAGATGAGACTCTGAATATTAGTCCACTGGTATATTTTAAGTCTGTCAAAAAGGAAAATTGGGTTTTACGCAAAAAAAAAGGACCAAAAAAAAAAGAAAAAAAAGGTTTTTCTTGTGAGACTGACCTGCCTCAATTAGTTTGCTACCTGCAGGTCAGTGGGATTGATTGTGAATAGTTTATTATATATAAATTAAGTTTGTGGTAGGTGGGCCTTGAAAGTGTAATGTGGTCCATTAAAAGTCCTTGATATGTCCTTAAAAAATAATTATTGCAAATTTTTGTATGAACCCTGTGGTAGGATTTTGGTGGTCAGGGTGATCATTCATTTAGTTCGCTAATGGTGTGAGGTGCCAAGTATCCCACATAAAATTCAAAATTCATGTATGTGCTGGCACTGATGATGGTTTTAACTTTGCAGGAAAGGCGATTACCAAAGATATATGGCTGAATTTAGTACAGACAAAGAAAAAAAAGAGGCTGCAGAGAAGGCACTTGTGGCATACAAGGACGCCACTGATTTAGCAAAAGATTTAGAAGCCACTCATGCTATCCGTCTGGGTTTGGCCCTCAATTTTTCAGTCTTCTATTACGAGATCCTTAACTCACCACCACAGGCCTGTAAACTGGCCAAACAAGCTTTTGATGAGGCTATTGCCAACCTTGATTCACTTAATGAAGATTCTTACAAAGACAGCACACTGATTATGCAGCTTCTTAGAGATAACTTGACACTTTGGACTTCAGATACACAAGGGGAAGGTGAGTTGCAACACTGCTGCAATCCTAGCCTGCAAATACAGCTGTCTCTCTTTGCTCCCCGTTGCTAGGGACATTCAGAGGAAGGATGTCTGCGCCGCGACGACAAATTCCATATTGATGATGTAAAATTTGTCTGGAATCTGGTCACAAGCTCTGATTGGTAAACGTAGTTTTGTTGTGTATTGTTTTTGAATGACAGACAAAAGACAGAAGGCCACAAAGGTCAAACGTAAATGCAATGAATCTACTACAAAACAGTCAATATTTGTGAAATATATTCTTCTTTAGAAGAAGCATTTGAGTTTTGCTGGAGCTTTTTCTAGAAGAACACAAAACTTACATGTACCATAATCAACCAGGAGAATTATCAAGTCAAACAAATTTACCTTTGGCACCCCATGACTACAGGGTTAATAGTGTAAACATTGAGTTAGTCATCAGTATGGAATTTTTGTCACTGACTTGCAGAGGTCTTTTCTGCAAAACTTCTCTAGTGGATAGGTGTAAGGAGAGACAGCTGTATTCGCAGGTTACTGTAACCCTTTCCTTTCATCAGTTTGCATTTCCTCGATTTTGTCCATTATTTCTTATGATTGTCAATGATTTGAATATATTTTAAGTTCGTGAAATTTTAAAAATCTTTTTGAGAAATAAGATGCTGCTCATTGTAGGCAGAATTCAGCTAGCCCACGAATAGTGGTAGCTGCTCATTTTAGGCTGTTTTAAGTACCAGCCAAATTGTGGCTCACGAATAAAATGCATGGGAAACTTATTTAATCAGGGTTCTTACAGGTCATGGAAAACCTGGAAAGTCATGGAATTAAAGAATTTCATTTTCCAGGCCTGAATGTGATTGTTGGTCCGTGAGAGTCATGGAAAATTAAAGTTTTGTTTTTTAGTTTAGTTACTGCAAGTGACATAGCAAGGACAATGCAAGATAGAGAGGAGTAATTAAACATCACAAACAGCATGTTGATGGACATCAGAGTTTGTGTCTGTTGAACTGTTTAAGGTTAAAAAATACCCCCAAACAAGGGAAATTTTGAAAATTTGTGAAAGTGACAACTAAACATAAGGTCTTGGAAAACTTGAAAAGGTCATGGAAAAAGTCATGGAAAGTCACAGAATTTGAAGAGCACAAAAGAGTACGAACCCTGTTAATTTATGCTATTCATGTTCAGGCAAGTATTGTTAATGACATCACGACACCATAAGGAGGCGTGTTGATGTCCATTTTATTTGACAGTTTAGCAAGCCCATTGTACTTTGAACATAAACTTACCATTGTAAAATTGGATCTTGAGCAATAAGGTTGTCCTAAGTATGTTCTCAAACACAAATATTCAAGTAGATTCGACTCTTAAACTTCAGTTAACTGTGGACAAAGCATAATTTTTAATTTGTAGGTTGTAATGTATGATATTCGTAGCCCGGGTCTTTGGTGGGAAAATAAAGTTGGGCATGAATGCAGGTATAAGGGTAATTATGCACGTTCTATTTCCTGCCGCTTAAATTCCAGTTAACTGATTCTTGGTGCACAAATTGTGCATAGTCATGAGGGTGCAACTAAACTTATTCTATAAAACTCAACACACACAATTTTGACATGAACAGTCTTTATTTTTACCTTCACTACATCACAACGATAAAAAAGTCAATTGTCCTCTTCGTTCTCCTCTGTACTACCAAACCAATCCTACACAAATTCGAGAAAAAAAACTCTTTATTTCAACTTTCATCACGTTACAACAATAAAAAATCAATCATCATCATCATCTTCGCCCATGGAGTACTAAGGTTTGACTCGAAATTTCTTATGCTTAGTTCATTTCTTCTGTTTGCCATGAATACCATTTACATCATCCAAATAATTTACAAATTTGAATCTGACATCTTTTGCTTTTCGTGGCTTGTGGTGGGGTTTCTACTGTAGGAGGAGGGGTCAAGAAAGTAGGATTTAAGAGTGGTTGTGGAGTTGAGCTTACTTTTTCAGGTTTTTGTAAGATAGCCACCTGCTTTAAATCAGGGGTTTCAAAGAAGGGTTTAGGAGAGTGGAGAATATAGCCATTGCTGTTGAAGAATCTTGCATGCTTGATGTTAAGTCGGGAACAGTGCTGATTATTTCTTCCGGTTGTGTTCTGGTAATTAATTCAACTCACAGTATTGCTTAGATTGTCATCTTCTGAAGATCATTTGGAGAAAGCACCTCATCCATGTTACCCTGTATCTCTTGCATAGCTGGAACAAGTGAGACAGTTGAAAGATTTTGCTGCTTTAGGTATTTTAGAAGCTCTTGAAGATTTTTCTTGAAATCCTGCGTGCTTAAATGCACATGAAAGAACTCAGCTTGCACAAAATAATATAAAATGAAATGAAGCAAATCGAAAAGTGGTAAAACAGTCAGGATATTTCAGTTCGATGGAAAGTAAGTGATTGGGTAGGTGATTTGCATACGGATTTTCCCTATCTTGTCCATGTCAAAAGTTGAAAAACCGTGAAAAGATCTATTTTCACGGGAACTGTACTGCCGTGTTGGTGTTTTTTTTGTAAATCCAGTGGCCGAAATAATGCTTAGTATACTTTTCAATTCCCTTTTAAAAATAACACCACATAATAAGCAAAAAAGAAGACGAAGAAAAGAAAGAACAAAGTAGGGACCTTCATGACGATATTCGCGGTGGGTTACCCTTCCAGTTCCTAACCCCACCAGACAGGGCTTAAGTTGAGTGGCACTACTAAAAAACCGAGTTTTTGAGAGGGTTATTGCGAGATACGTATGTCTAGTTTATGTTGCGATGCTGTACATGAATTATCCTCAGTGTGTAGATTGTGCATTTCAGCAAGTTTTGTAAGGGTGTGTACTGTTGTTAGTTATGTTGCTGGAGGTGTGGAGTTAACTGTACATAAGGAAAGTGTTGTAGAGGAAATGAAGGAAGTGGAGCTGAGATCTTGTTGTGCGCAATTTAACTGAATTTTAGGAGTCGAATCTACTTTAATATTAAATTTGTGTTTGAAAACATACTTAGGACAACCTTATCGCTCAAGCTCCAATTTTAAAATGGTAAGTTTATGTCCAAAGCACAATGGGCTTGCTAAACTGTCAAATGGACATCAACACGCCTCCTTATGGTGTTGTGAAATCATTACCAATACTTGCCTGAATATGTTTAGCATAAATTAAACAAGTTTCCGGCGCATTTTATTTATGAGCCACAAAATGAGCGGCTACTACTACCCCTGGGGTCATACCCTCCCTATATTTTATTTAAGTCTATTGTGGGAACCAGAGCAGAAGATTAGCCAGAAGAGTGGGTTTGATGTTCTTCCCATTTCACCACTTAAAATCCTTAGGAAATTGCCCCTACACACTCAAATTGAAAGCAATTTGATTGCATCAAAATATAACCTGCTTACACTGGCCTTTCAAATGGGAAAATGCCATAATAAAGGAGCTATGAAAAAGTCCTGTTCAAACGTTTTTTATTTTTAACTTTCAGAGCCGGAAAACAGTACAAATGTTGAAGATCTTGAAGTTGAAGAAGACAAGTAAAGAAACAATTCTTAAAGGTTTTATGACAAAAATAATCTAGACGTTCGTCCTTCTGCCAGAACAGCCATTGCCACAATAATTATTGTAAAGCTTGTTATATTGATTTAGCGTAATGCCAAAAGACTTCTTTATTATTGCTGTTTCCCTTTGTCAGTCTAACAAACAGTGGAAGGAATTATTCATGTTTTTCCCTTGACTTGCAAGGTTATAAATTAATTATTGTATTACGAGACCAAAGTGGTTGTTGTAAACCAAGTGGTACTGTTTAAAGGGGCAACGTCACGCTATTTTCCATCTTTTTATAGGCTAAAACTTGTCTTTGGATCAACTGAATTTCTTAATGATGTTCTAGTTTTGTTATTTAAGACTATATTAATTTTTGACATTCAAACTGTTTTCCATCGATTGTTGCAACAGATGGCAAGGATGGATATGGACTGAAACTTGAATTTAAGTGCTATGCCTACAAAAATCACCGTAAAAATTATTACAGTTAGTGCTCCCTGATGAAAGTTGTTTGATATCTTTTTTTAAACTCTGCCGGAGCATTTTGTATACGGGTACTAAAGACACTACATGTAAGTCATAACTTTAGCCTAGAACTGACCTAAAACAGCAATATCTTCGTGACATAGCCCCTTAACCCTTTAAGCCCTGAGAGTGATCAGTATCAAAATTCTCCTTTTAATATCAGTGCTTTATAAAACAGATTGGTGATGAGAGTTAAGGAGATGATCACACAAGATATAATAGGTTGACACTCTAATAACTTCTCGTCACTACTTTTATAAGAAACGTATAGGGACACCAAATGGGAGTTTGAATTTTGATATTAGGGTTTAGAGGGTTAAAAACGGAAGAAACTCAGTGCACTGACAAGTCAGATGCAATTTTATACGGATCGGTTGTCCCGAAACGTGTTGAAACAGTATTAATAAAGAAATTATGTACGTATAGAATCATGATTTGTCTAATTTGTTATTGTTGTTATTGTTGTATTTTAACGCAAAGTTGATGTTGTGATTTTGTACCTTTTTATCCCGTTCAGACTAGTTTCTTGTATTTGGTTCTGGCCTCCCCTCTCTCTCCCGTTCAATTCGTTCAAATATCATTAACGTTGTTTTCGTGAAGAACATTTTTGCAGCAAAAGCTTGCCCTGAGATCAAATAGCCAGTGCAAGCTACTTCTCACACTTCGCTCCACCTTTGGCCAATTCAAAGCTCAAATGATGTGAGGTGACCTTTCTTGTATAGCTTGGTGGTTGCTAGAGGGCTCCTCTACCCCCGGGGGGGGGGGGTACTTGGGTTACGCTGGCCTCTTAGAGCCCCCACCCCATTATAGTCTATTTTGTGGCCAATAATAGACCCCATCTTAGTCACTTGTGGGAAAATAAGTAATTTTAGCGATCCCAACTTAGTCACTTTCTGATTTTACGAACTTATCCATCTTTTAGATTGAATGAAGAACAATTTACTTTTCATCTACAGTACAAACATTCTGGTACGTTTGCTAACCGTA